AAATAGTTCCAGTGATATTTGCTTAACAGTCAAAGCAATTGGCAAAATATTCGCTATCCGTTTGATTTTAAACTCTGGAACACCAGCAAAGTCTGGAGGCTTCAGTATAACGTCAAACTTTTGAAAACAAAACAAAGCGTAAAAATATGCAATAACTGGCCATCTTTCGATTTCTTGATCTTCAATTTTCTATCCAGTTCTTATCCCGTGAAATTCATCACCAATTTTTCAGATAAACAGATAATCTGTGCGTTAAAATCAACGAGCGCACCAAATTGTTTCGTTCGTATCTGATAGAGTAAAAAAGAAAGATCGCAGTGATGAAAGCCTAGCCGACTGACCAAGAACTCGATGCTCACTATGGTTATCTATGCTCTATCGACTTAAGTATACAAGAAAACCGTCTCTGAGTCCTTTGTGCTTTCTCTCTTTGCCCGTACTCGCTTTATCTAAGGAGAACAATAGTACCGTTCAACTGCCGAGCGAGTAAATTGGAGAAGTCTGGCATTGCTATCAAACTAGAGTTAATTTTTTTATTTCATTTTTAGGAATACTGAAAAACAAACGACTAACTGGCACTACCTTTGAATTATAAATTTCAGACGTATAATTATCGTCGAAGATATTTGGTAGCAATTGACTCCCCAGCCAATATCATTGTATTTGTTATTGTTTATTTCATACAATATATTGCTCTGTTTGTCTTTAGACTCTCGTCCTTAAAATAGCTTTTGTATTCTTGAATTTTTCCGCATTTTTCTTGTTATCTCTCCATGTGAAATTATCTATGGTTCTTTGCCTGCTTATCGATTTTTTTACTGATGAACATTGAACACCGCGCTGAATATACGGTCGGAATTTGACAAAAAGCGCGCGTATCAGAGATTATTTTGTGAACATGGCTTTAGATATTTTGCACCCCATTGTGTAGAAAATAAAACATAAGCAGCAAAAATAAACCTGTGACAATCACGTAACTATATAGAAATTAAGAAATAGAATTGTTAAAGGTTGATTAACGCGCGTGATAGTAATGGTTGGAATTTCACTTGAAGCGATTTGATTATAACGCAAAGCAATTGGCGTCAAGTTGCGTCATAGCTTTTTTGTTAAAAGTTAGTGATACACGACTTATCTTGACAGGAGAGCAAAATATCGTGTCTAAGAGCTAACAGCTCTTTTAATAGTCGAGTGCAAAATGCTTTTAACAAAGTGACACTTTAAACTGACTCATTTTCTTCAACGTGCAGTAAATTGGCTTAGATTTAGGCTATCACGCGTGAAGCGCTTAGTCATGAGAGTCAGTGTAGGCGTGCGGTGGACGTTACTTTAGAAGGAAAATGGGACGTGTTTTATCACTCATTTCCACTCACCAGAAATACGAATCAAGCACATCTAATTTGTGACGTCCTTAAATATTTTTACTACAAATAGAATTCGTGTTTTGACTTTTTAAAAAATGTTGACCGCGGCTCGATAACCTGTTAATTATGCTATAAGTTTTTCAAAACTAATGCTGGACGATTCAAGAATTTTGTTGCTCGAAGCTGCGTCCTTCGATAGATAATTCGCGGCGTTTTCGAGCCAGCAGCGATCCCTCTCGGTAAATTAGATGAAAAGTAACTTTTTATTTTATTTTGTGGAGAGACTTATCTTCAGGAAAGGTTAAATGAGAATTACAAGTCAAGTAAAGCTCCAATAGTGCCGATTACACTTGAAGATTCACGCATCATACGATATCCTTTAAAAACAAATGTATTTGTCTTCCAAGGGCCGGGGAAGTATTGCGCTATGGATTTGCGGTGTGCGGTTTTTTACACATTTGATTGCAGTATTTTAGTGGTTTTCGCCAAATTTCAGTTTCAAATGTTTCTGAAATTTAAGATCTCTGAAACTGTAAATTGCGCGTAGTCTCCATAGTTGTTAGTGACTTAACATGATAAACGAAGCACTGGCCGCAGAGGGAAGGCATTCCAAATACTGTCCATACTTTCATTAGACTTATAGCCGGCAACAAGTGGCCTCTTAAGTCTTTTAATATTCACAGAGTTCACTTCATGGACTCAGCCACTATTTTGGAGAGATGACATCGACAATGATAGCAAAATTAATCGTCATTCCATGTACAAATAATCAAGTAAATGAATCGAAAATCTACCTCTAAAGGAATAACGATACAACAGAGCAGTTGGTTTAAATTAGTGTCACAAGTTCAGAGAATTTTGGTAGGGGTGTGTGCATTAGAGGCCATTGACGTATTCGCGTCAGCCAATTAGATTCTAGAATTTCGTGCAGCGCGCACCGGATGTTGAGCAGTAAATAAAACTTTGGGTACAAAATCATCCTGCGCAAACCTTAACTAAAGTCACGCACAAAACGACAAGAACTTACGTCTTATTTGGAGTCACCTGGCACGTATGTTTTATACGAAACGTAATTGCATTGCAGTCACGTAAGATTTATCAAAAAAAAAAAAGAAAGAAACCTGTGTGAAATTTGCAAACAATGTATTTCCTACACACGTATAGTAAATAAAATATTCGAAACAAAAAAACCAATAAACTTAAGACTTATCAAATCGATGGAAAGGTTTATTTTGTTGATTTAATTTTTTTTCTTGTAGGTTGAACAATATATTTTATATAATCAGAACTAATCACAAGTACATAATCAGGCTAATCACAAGTAAATAAAAAAAAAGTGGTATTTCGTTATTTTGTGGTTTTGTTTTGTTTTGTTCTTTTTGACGTTACAACGCTCATCTCATTTACATCACTTACGGTCTAGCATCGATCATACAATGAACCCAATAGTTTATTATGGTATCGGTCCTGCCTGTTACAGATCAACATCAAATCCTTTGCGATCAACTCAAGCAAATAAAGTTTCAAGAATTTTGGATGTAGTCACTATCTCTGCAGAGGCAATATCCTTGCTAAACATAGCATTAGTAGAAATCAAAAGGCAGTCGCTAATCGCCTCACTGCGTCTTCATGTTATTGTGGTAACAAGAAAACAAACATGCGTCATGCCGTATCGCCTAAATTGAGGGATTTGGGAAATTATAAAAACCGATGTTCCCTCAAATAAATTAACCAACATAACGTCATCTACGAAACCCAGATTTTACCGCTCTGGCTTGCGGTTACCGCTTGGACACAAATGAATTCAATTCATTTATCTATCCTAATTATGTCATAACATTTAGCACGACTTCTAAATCAAAAGCAAAAGTTGAATAAAAAAAGCATAAAGCAAAGCACAGAAATGACACCTATAGTTTCACAGCGTGCTGGAACTACGAAAACTGTAACACTAGTCAATGGATTTCAGGCCAATAGTGTAGAAAACTGCATCTGTTGTGTGATCATGACAGAGTCAAAGCCACTGTAGTTTTTATTCTGTTTCAATAATGGCAGTTTTCGCATGCTAAAGTAAGCCCTACGGCAATTCGGACGAAAGCGGAAAAAGATGGAATGAGGAAGATTTTTTTTGGAAACGAATTTGTATGAAGACAAAAATAATTATCTCTATATACAAACATCGTCCACAATATCACTATCTGATCTCTAATATCAACCTCTGAGTTGGATCTCAAGGCGTGAAATGCTGTACTTTCTATAACTTCCGCTGCCCTTTCTTGTTCGGATGTGATGAATGCGGAAAATTGGACAGAATTGCGGCCAGGTGCGACAACTGCGCAAATTCCGCTTTTTCTGTGGGCAGAGCGCGTCATGTAAAAAACGAGGCCAGTATCACCGTAAAAATGTCAATGTACTTTGATGCTAGCAATCTGTTTTTAAACGCTTTTCATCAAAAGCTTCAACCTCTACAGCAAACGGCTCAGTTCTCGCTAATTTAGACCTCAATTAGTCTGTAATTATACTAATTTCCAAACAGGAAAAATTCTCATCACCCACAGCGACAGTCGTGAGCAAACAGACTTCACCATCACTAGAAAGTTCAGCACCGTCAAGATTGCAGTTGCAAATTCAGAAGAACAATCAATTTACCTCACACATGTAAAACACAACTTTCGATTTTTACCAAATATTGGACTGGTACCGACAAATCTGTTTTCCTTCTCAATTCTGCTGTAACAGGGGACTGAAGTCTTAAAATTCAAGATCAATTACACCTGTTCAAATTAAGTCTTCTAATTTTCCAAAAGATACACTCAGAATTTGCCCAAAACTTCGAATAAAAAAGTGAATGTTTTGGTTATTGACATCTTATCTATTGTTTGTATGGTAATAACCCTTTCATCGATTATTTTTAACAAGTTTATTAGGTGTTACAATACAGAATGTCTTTCCTCTATCTTACTTTAATTAGTTTTTATCAATTCTGCGCTTTACTGAGAAATGTCTCGACGTGAACCTGCAGAAAAGATGCCTGTCTCAAGAAGAGAAAGCTAAAAATCATAAAAATACTTTTTTCCTTTTTCCCCTTGATTTACGTAAACGGAGCTCTCAACCGAAGAGTTGAACAAAGAAGTCTTTCATCCATTAAACCTGCTTAGAATTCTTAACAATACAGAACTAAAACTGGGTTGCGACACGAAACTTTTTTTTTTCCTTGAAGATTTAGATACAACTAGCTCGCTGATTTGCTGTTTTTTGAGAAGTGTAACGTGATTGCAAACAACAGTTTGCAATCAAACTAAACTATAAGAGTTTGCCCAGAAACGATTCGTCAAACGGTTATCAGGAACGTTAACAAATCAACACCAACCAGGAAAAATCATCCAGTTGAACAACCACAATTTAACAAATAACGAGAAAGCAAATTCAAATGTTAACTCGTCAAAGTAATCAAGTTTGATAACACATGCTTGACGATTGCGGGAAATTTCGCTAAAAACATCGCAGGAAAAGCGACTCTGTTACCGTACTAGAAACAAACGAACCTCTTCAAACAATTCGCGTGTACATGGCCCACGTAAGGGAGTTGATGCACGCACGAATATTCAAACAATACAAATGAGTTTCTTAATTGAATAGCTACCAAACAATTGGGCAATAATGACCTCAGAAAAGTTCCGGGTTGTTGGTATAAAATGAGCAGTTTAAAGCAAAGGGATTTAAGTCAGAAACAGGGAGTTCTACCAGAAGCAGCCGGCTTTTGAGCAGAAGAAACGAAGGATTATCAGAGGTAACTAAAAATCTCGCTGAATTTTGGGTATGACTGCGATCATATGAACAAAAACAAAATTAGTTGGTAGTAGTCTGTTAGTATACGCCGAACAAATTTCGTGTTTGCTCCTCGAGCTTAAAAGTCTTGGTAGCTTTAAGAAGTTGCACCTACAGCACTTCACAGACATCTTTCAAGCTTTTTCAATTTGTATCAGATGACCTTACAGCGATAAAATCCTTTAGGACTTGTCAGGCCTCAACTTATATGGGTACCTATTGAGAGTGTGACCTACATATGTATTTTTACCAAGTTCGAAGTCCGCGGTTCCGCGGTTCCACGGTTCCACCTTCAAATCTTATTTAATCTCAACCAACATCGATTAAGCTGTGTGTTTGTTTTCGCCTCTTACTTTCATGACTTGATTCAGCTGTCCTTGTAACATTCCGTTTTGTGGCTTTCTTCAGTGGAATTCCAAAGTGATGTGAGCATTTTGAAAGCGTTTTGCTTTATAAGTTGTACTTGATCACCTTCTACATATCGCCATTGTCTAGCGATTTTCAAGCCTGAAAGTAGATTCTTAGAACTTATCGCAGAATTGTTTTTTAAGAATTCGTTTAACATCCCTGAAGTCAATTTTCGCATATCGCACTTACATGTAATTTCTGCTCGACGAGTCCTGTATTAAAGGAAGAATAACTGAAAAAATTTCCATAGCATTCCACTTCAGAAAAGCGAAGAAAAACCTACTGAAACTTAAAAGTGGATATAGTTCGAGATCCCTTTTGACTGCTTAGACAAAGATGAGAGTCGATCAACTTCGTTGTGGGTTTTGCAAAGTATGACCGTGTTTGTTTTCTCGGATAGTAACTACCTCCAGTATATTGCGTGAGCAGGGCACAAAATCTGTTCACTTCAGAGTTGACGTTTCATGCCGTCGGCATTTTCATCAGGCGTTGTGCGCGCAACAAATGTGTGTCACTCAAACAGGAAAGAATGTATTGTCGTTATGCTTGAGCAGTTAACTGCTCACGCGATGATGAAAACAAACGCATTAGCAGAAACACGTTCACATGCATTTTTCTCGCATCGCATACCTCTTTAATCTCTGTTCTTTTCATTCGATGCTACTTCTGTCGGAAAAAAAAGAGAGCAAAACCGGAGAAAATTTCCACCATTCCCCCTCTTAGAAAAGTGAATAGGTGCGTGGCTAAATGCCATTTGCTAGGGTGACCTCATGTGATATATGATCCAAAATGGCCGCTATCGGATAATTTGATGCTGAAGTAGCTGATACTAGCTTCCACTTTGCCGACTCAAGATCATGTATTCATGAGTTTCCGATGATCACCACACGGTAAGATTCCCTTGAAGGGTCATGAATCCAAAAACACAAAAGTAATGAACAAATGAAATTTGCAGAATTTACGGTTGAGAAGCCATTGATGTAGAAGTTCATAGGTGAAATTTTAGGATTACTTCCATTTTGAGAAATTAGCAAGAACTGTTAGAGAGGAAAAAGTTGGTGGAGGACAAAGTTTTTTCATCCATCATACAAATGTTTTGAAAGTGTCAAACTTTACATTTTTCTTTTTAAACAAACGACAACCTTTTCAATTTCGCTTTGTTCTTTGCCACTGCCTTCCACCGTGACCTTTTATCCCTCTCAGGGTCACTCACTCAGGTCATTAAAAGGGCTTATTTGTATTCTTGAGTAGAAAGTGTAGCAAAGCTTTTATCGATGACATTTTCGAAAGCGCTCAATTTCGTTACCTGACATGTAACCTTTTCCTTTTGACTTTAGCGAACATGGTGGGCCATATCCACAGTGGATTGGTCCTATTACTGATCCTCGGTTTGGGGATGACGTCTTCTTACATTATTGATGACCCATACCCGTCCAACAAAGAAATGGAAACACTGGAGGACATGACAGATGAGATGACAAAGTTAGACGAAATGAGCGCACAGGGCATAGACAAAAAACGAGAACAACAGTTAGAAAAGCGAGACGCCAAGACAATAGTTGAAGGGAAAGCTGACGCTCTTAGAAAAGGATGCCAAGATGAGGCCGAAAAAGAGTATGATGAAAAAATGCTGGCGGAAAAAGAAGAAAGGAAGAAAAATGCCCTACTTAAATACTACATATCATTACAGCATGGGAAAAAATCTGTCCAAGAAGGTGAAAAGTGGCTTCAGGCAAAACAAAGTGAATCTACTACTGGTTGCCTTGTAAGAAAACTTTGTGAAGATCAAGAAGTCCTTGCAGCACTTGGACTTTCTTCGAGTAGGTAAGGACAAAAACTATTGTACAGCGTTCGATAGATTATTAAAAGTTTTTTATTTCTATCGCGTGATAGTTGAGGGTAGAGAAATCAATTATCACGCATAGAGATCGAGAGAGAAAATCCTATTTGTTCCAGTGTAAATCTAGTATGCGTGCTTAAGTACACGGCCTAAATGCTCTAATGCTGTTTGTACTCCTTAATCTCTACACAGTGAAGAGAAGGACTGCGCATTGGCCATTTTTAGGTTATTTGAAGGCGACGTACACCCTGATGAAAACATAAGGTGCAATCCAAACGCTCGTTTCCGAACAGCCGACGGAACTTGTAACAATTTGGTTAATCCTAAACAAGGAGCAGCAGGTGATCAATTTCAGCGCCTGGTGGAAAATGACTACGCAGATGGCATCTCGGAACCTCGCGTAGCAAAGGATGGCTCAGAGTTACCGAACGCGAGGACAGTGAGTTTGGAAGTCCACGGAAGTAACGCAGACCGAACCAATCCTGATTCTATGGTGCTCACCCACTTGACAATGAACTGGGGACAGTTTATGGATCATGACCTCACGCTAGCAGAGTTTCCGGGTATTAACTGTGAACCTCCAACCAAAGACCCTGAGTGTGTCAACATTGAAATTCCAGAAAATGATGTCATATTTAGGTCTAAGGGTGTCTTTGATATTGAAATGGAGCGAGACTCTCCTCACGTACCAGAAGAGCTTGGCAAACTTGCTCCACGAGAACACACCAACAGTATTACAGCCTACATTGATGCATCCAATGTGTATGGCTCAAGCGAGGAGGAGGAGGATAATCTTAGGGCCCCAGATGGGTCATTGAAAATTATGAAACCACCACACGGCTGCCCTCTGGGCGACCTATTACCTGCAGCTTTCCCCGAAACGTTTTGCGAGTCTGTAGATCCAAACACACCTTGCTTTTTGGCAGGAGACGAGCGCGTAAACGAAAATCAAGGTAGGGAGAGTACTTAATAGTTCACCAGAGGCGAGGAGGGTCCGGAGTGAAGAAGGAGGGAAACGTGTCGTCTCGTTTAGGGCTGCAAACGAAATGTCATCTTTAAAGGGACGAACAAAGCTCGAGCCATACCCAGACTAGGTCCATTCACGGGAATTAATTTAAGGCTTTCTGACGAGAACTCTTACGTTTCAGAACTTTCAATTTCTAAAGGTCCCTATTGGCTGCAAACCCGCCCTTATAGCCTTACAACTATTAAAAAATTGAAAAGTAGACAGTTTATAACGATATGCTGATTTATTTCCTTTTTTTCTACTTTTTTTTTGTCGCAGGTCTCATGTCAGTTCACACTCTGCTTGTTCGTGAGCACAATCGAATCGCAGCTTTCTTCGGTAAACGTACTCAGTGGAACCCAGAGCGAATTTACCAAGAAGCAAGGAAAATCGTTGGCGCGATCCTACAATACATCACATACAACGAATTCCTGCCCTTAATTTTGAGCCCCAGGACGGTAAGAAAAACGCTTGCGTTACAGTAATACTGTACTTAAGAGACGAGGCGACTATGTGTTCAGCGTGATTCATTCTCGAATCGGTGCTGCGTTTTCGGGGTGGTACACGTAACCCTCGAAAAGCTTTCCTGAATCCAGTAGGATAGATGAGTGGTAGAAAACTGTCAGAATTGCAGAGGGCTCATCTCCGATGGAATTGCATCCGTCTAGAAAGAGTAATAACGGAGGATTCTGGGAGGATCACATGGTTTTCAGTGGAGGGGGGGGGGGGTCAGGAGTCTTTAACACAGATTAAAGGGGGGACTATAGAAAACTGACTGCCAGTGAGGTGGGATGAGTAGAAAAGTACAGAGCCTACATCAATATCAATATCTGGGCAACTGCCCACCTACCCCTCCACTAACCCAACATTAACCATAACTTGTAATCAATTAACTGTTGTTGGGTTAGGGGAGGGGTAGGTGGGCAGTTGCCCAGATACTGATATTGATCCCAGAGCCTTATGGGATGACCAGGTGTATTTTATGGTGACAAAACCAAAACGGTTGGTCCCTAACTCATAATATAGCAGAAGTAGAACTATTTCTGTTAAAGTCTGACTTTTAACCCCCACTTTAACAGAGCCGCACGCGAGTTGCACGCATTCTATTTCATTCTGGTTAATGGTGGGATATAATACTGCATTCGCATCAGAAGTGATATTAAATCAAATTAATGGATCTTTTTGTTTGATTTCCATGTGCTTCTAGAGAAGAGACTTTAATCTGAATCTGGAAAGAGGGACAAATTATTTTGAAGGCTATAGCGAGGATGTCAACGCCCAAATGACCCAGGCCTTCTCAACGGCTGCATACCGCTTTGGCCACAGTTTGGTGCAAGAAGAGTTCAGACGTTTTACTCAAGATGGCTTTGAACACAAATGTGACAAAAATTCAAAGGCAGAGTACCTGCCTATCCAAGTGAGGGATTTTGGCAATCCAATTTTCCTTTATGACAAGTGTAATGGAGCAATTGATTCTATTTTTAGAGGCCTGATAAAAATGCCTGCTGCAAAACTAGATGGGTGAGTGAAACTTACAAAGCGTTAACTGATTAAAGAAAAGTTCCGAGGAATTTTCAGTGGAGTGTCAAAAGTAATCGGGATTGCTTTGATTAAATTTGCCTCACTTCGCTGTGTGATTGGTCCAAAAACCTCGCACTACCTTCTAAGCCAACAAGAATCAAAACAAACACCAATTGTGACTTAGTCACTTGTGGTTTCCCGCGCTTGATGTTAGTTTGAGTTCTTATTCTCTCCTAGTGATATTATCCTTTGTTGTGCTTGGCTTCTTTGGTTACTTTGGGTTGGTTTTATGACTGTTAATCGAAAAGCGCTCCATTTGGGTAACATGAGGTCTGGAAGGTTTGATTGGAAAAAACCCCGTGCGAAGCAAAATTTGCCATAAGCTATGGACGAAACGACACTATAGGGGCCTCTGCCTTCATTTTTGGCTTTCTCTTTGTTCACTTTCTTCTTCCATGTGTAAGGACGTTCACTGATGTTTATTGTTCTTATTGTAGGCGTTTTTCCAGCGCGGTGCAAGAACACCTGTCGCGAGGTGAGGGCGATATCGCCGATCTCATTTCCCTCAACAACCAAAGAGGTCGTGAACATGGTGTTCCTGGCTACACAGTGTATCGTAACCTCCCTTTGTGCAACATTGCACGAAAGGTAAATAGTTTCGACGACCTTAAGAAAGCTGGCTTTGATCCCAAGGACATCAAAAACCTCAAAAAAGTGTACAAAGACGTCGAAGACATCGATCTTTTTACCGGAGGTAAGTTCGTTACTAAGAAGAGAGCGCTTTTTGAACGTCGTAGAGAATCATAACCAATGCATTAAGGCCGATCAGAACACGGGAAAATACCGCAAGCCGAGGAGAATTCAAAGTAAAAAAAATAAGCACGGCTGCCTAAGGCGGAAAGCCATTAAATTCTTTAACAGTGAGTCAGAAACGATTCGATTTTCATTTGTTCATTGGAGAACAGTGAGTCAGAAACGAAATTCACTTATGGGCTGAAAGCTACTGGTTAACCTGAGTGATTAGTCTGTATGGGTTTCAACTATTAAAAGATTAGCCATCGAAAACGGTGAGAGTATCTAAAGGCAAGCTCGTTAGCGAGCCTTTACTTAAGTGTTTTGAAGAATCACTTCTACACAAAAATTTGGATAAAATAGTACACAAGACATTGTTGATGACTGAGTTCTAATGTACAAACTAGCAGTAGACTACACTGAAAGGGAGAGAGTGGTACGAAAACAGCGCAAATTTATATTTCCAAAGCGTTGACTCAAATCATCATGTCAAGGGGTGAGGTTTCCCTGTAGCTTCTCTCGATTCTCAGTCACAATTTCTACACTCTAAAAAGATGATAAGAATCCAAATGCTAAGAAAATAACTACACTGCGCCGCTACCTCTCATAATGTTTACTATTTTGCCGTTAACAGCAATGTTGGAACCTGATTCCGTCAACGGAGGGCTCCTAGGGCCAACCGCTCAGTGTATCATAGCAGAACAGTTCAATCGCCTTCGAGGGGGAGATCGCTTTTGGCATGAAAACGCACCAGATTCAGAAAAGAATACCGACAACACAGCGTTTACGCGATGCCAACTTCGCGAAATCAGAAGAGCTAGTGTGTCCAAGCTTATCTGCGACAACATGGACTTCATCCCTGCAGTCCCGAGGTTTGGATTCATACAGTCCAAGACTCTTGTTGACTGTGATAAGCTTCCAGAAATGGACCTTGGAGTGTTCACAACACGCATATGCAATATCCCAGCCAGAAGGTAAGATAAATATTCGTCATTCAATATCATCCAAACTTGAGATCAAATCGACCAATCAGGAAAAAGGTCAATTTCACATTACTAATGAGAAGTCAAAGGTGCAAGTTTTACATCTGATTGGTTAAGACTTCATGGCAGTGCCAACGAGTCCTCTTGACAATTCTTAAGGAATGGTTGATCTTAAACAATGCAGACCTTCTGCTACCCCGCAAAAAATTGCTGGATGACTATAATTAAAGCAGTTGCTAACCAGCATATTCTCGTTCTTTCTTTAGTGATAGCGTGAGTAATGACAGCGAGAGTGGTGATACCGAAGTGGATGACTACCGCTTGAACGACGAGTTGTAAAGATCACGCCGGTGGAACGATGGAAACAGAAGAAATAAAACCATTTTTTTTTGCCATGCGTTTCACAACACATTCATCACATTCACTTCATAATTAAGAAGAAGCAATTTTTGTGCTGGGTTGAATACGTTTTCTGCGCGTGTTAGATAGCTGTAATTTTCGCGACAATCGTAATGTTGTTTGTCTAATTTAAACTTTAGGAGAAGCTTTGAGAAGCCACTTTTTCATAAATATCTACCTTACCAACTCCTCATCATATTTATTTCAAATTGGTTGCGATTTCGATATCTGACTTTAGAGTTTCCAATTAGACGTTTCTTCTTTAAAAGGAGCGTTTGCTTGGCAAAAACAATTTCTTTAAAACGTATTCAACCAAATGCACATGAGAAGTAACAATAATTTTTAAGGCTGCTGCGTTCTTTTTTATTACTATTATTTTCGCAATAACTTTTTGGAACAAGTTCAATTCAGTAACCGCCAGGGAATGAGTACATGGATGCTTTGTAATCATGTTTGAATACATAATAAAATGATGAAAAATCTTTCATCATGAGGTATAGACGTCTTGTTACAAAAGAACTCGGAAAGGTTCTGGGTGGGAAGATTGGACCTCAGTTTGGAAGAAATTCGTTTCTTACGTGAAATACTCCTTCCTTTTTCATCTGGGATTAGTCCTAAAAATTTGCTCCAGAAATTTATCATATTTTAGTAACCTGTGGTGGTGTAACTATGAGCGTTTATCATAAGATGCCCATGAAAAAAGTTAACCCTTTAACTCCCACGAGTGACCAGGACAGAATTTCTCCTTACAATATCAAGGCAAGTGATGAGATAAACAAAAACATCAATTAAGGATTAGTTGATCCAAAACTTATTCTCCCTGATAACTTTAAGTATTCCCATTACCTGTTTCCTGGATGTTGTACGAATATTGTAGGGAGAAGTTACATGTTAATCACTTCTGAAACTTAAAGGATTAACAGCGTTCGCTCATAGGTCTGCGTTTGTTCATATCTTACAATGCTGATATCCTAAGATATTGATAGCGGATTCGGGCCGGATTTGGGTTGAAAGAGTCATTGTCCTGGCTCGGTGTTGAGCTGAATGCACAAACAAAAAAAGAAGTAACTTTAACCCTATAACTTCCAAGATCTGATCGTCAATTCTCCCCTCTAGCTACTACACATTTCCTTGTAAATTGATTACGAGAATTTGGTGTTCAATCAAGGCGATAAATTGTATCTGATGAGTTTGAGTATTCTCACTACCTGTTTGTTGTGTAATATATGGATACTATCGTGAGAAGTTACAGGGTAATCACTTCTGGGAGGTAAAGGGTTATGACATCTTTTGCGACACACGGCTCAGTTTCAGCGGCATTGCCACGACCTTCCCTCCCCCACCCCCCTAATGTAGGATGCAAGAACATTACGGGTCTATCTCTTGCAATTATTCCTCACAGCTCACCCGCGCCTATTTATGCTCCTCTTTGGAGAAAGGCACAGCGACAATGGAGGGTCTTTCGATTGATTTGGTTCTCTAGAAAGTCATTTTCCTCCTCTGATTTTAATATATTGCATAAGTTATGTGGAGAGCTGAAACAAGATCAAAATTCCAAAATGTTTTTATTTTGTTACGGATCATTCAAAAAACGTTGTCACAATTGGCTCCTTCCTTTTTCGAGCGGTTCGGTACATTCACAGTCTAGCTGAAATTCTTTCAAACATTCCTTACGATACAAAAATACTTGTCGCAACATAAACGACTGAAACTCATTAAACAGTTTGGTAACTTCTGGAGCACATTGCGGGCATATTTGACCCCGGATTTCCTTTACTAATCACAATATTTTCTCCGACTGCGTGAGAAATTCGCAAGCGTCCACCCTCTACGATTTAACAATAAATAACTTGTTACTTTAAAAGAAATCTAACTAAACCATTCGGCCAAGGTAAGAGTATTCAATAAATCGTCGGGCGAGAGTAGTTTTGGAAACTGCCCCACACATTCGGAGCACTGTCACAACTTTGGAAGCCATGAAACATATTTCCGGGATGTCTGCTTGACGGGGCTACGAGCGCAGAGTTTGAGCGACACTTCGACCTCAGTTCAGCAAATTCTGTAAACTCTTCTTCCATTTCATCGCCCTTTTTCATCTTCGAGGGATACAGCGAAGACGGACGAGTTTCTGAGTCAGATACGATTGACGCATTCGCTTTAAAACCGTGCGGGGGATCCGACGTGCTCCGCAAGCGGCAATCTGCAACACGTAGAAGGTTCTTATTCTGTTTGGGTGCCATTGTCTTCGGAATTGTCTCTTGGACCGATCGAAATCCATTTACATTGAGCAGGGGAGATTCTTTCCGCGAAATTAATGCACCATTCAAATGTTCCGCTTTCGCTTTCGCGGGTTGCGCTCCGTCCAAACACTCACCGCCTATTCCATCCAAGAACGTGCTTTTGCCCTCATCGTTGCGTACAAGCATTGTGTTGCTTGGTAAACCTCGTGCCAGTGACGCTTGATAACTTTCGTAATTGATCGTGAAAGCCAGAGAAAGGGCCTTGAAAAGTTCTCGTGCCTTGGCTTTGCTTTCGCACGTGAAGACAAATGCCTTAAATGGACTTTCTGCCCTGTCTCGTGCAATGAACACAAAAGCTTTCTCGTGAAAGTTGTCGATGTTACAGAAGGTTACCTTAGAGATCGGGAAATTTGCGATCAGTTTTCCGCTCGCTTCCTCGCTGACGCTCAACCTTTTCGAACACAAGTTTAGGATCATTTTCTTCTGCGTCTTACCGTTGCCATTTTTCCTCTGCTCTTCAAAGACTGTGGCTACGGGTTTTTCTGTCTTTCCACTACCAGTCCCGCTTGCTCCCGCAACTTCTGCGGATCCAATGTACCGTACGCTGTATTGTACTCCAGCAATGACTCGATCTTTCTCGTCCGCATCACTGCATGTGAGTTGTTGGTGTCCTTTGCGGGCAAAACTCGGGCTCAGTTTTGAGAACATTTTTCTACTTCTGACTCGTTGAAGGTCTGGCGCTTATGGAAGGTAAGTCCTTTTAGAGCGTATGATCATCGCAACGCGACGAATGCACTTATAAGGGCAGAACAAGTGAAGCATGATACTTTGTTTATGGTTCCACTCTTACGTAATGGGATTACAACCGCATGCGCAAATGTCAAAGCCTTTCATCGATCCGTTTAAAAAGAGATTAAGCTAAGTGTCAACACGAAACTATTTGGATAAGAATTTTCCAATACTCGAAGTAAAAACAAACATTTTTGCAATGCCAAAGCACTAAGTAGTGGGAATCTACTAAATTTCCCTGCTTCAACCAAGAACAACGTTCTTACAAATCGAGAAGAGATGAAACACAGGAAGTGAATTATCAATGAAACCTATTAGCTGGCATGTTATCAAAACCGCCAGTTCTTTTGGTTTCCAAAACTGTTGTGACGTAAATTCACATGATCTGATTATGCCCCCTATGAAAGTGTCATGTATAAGGAATAAGGACGTCATAAGCTTCAACCTAGTGCGTGGCATTTTTCCGACATTAAGTTACATTAAAAATTGTATCACAGGAACTTGTGACGATAAATGCAAATGATTCTATGCAAGACTTTTGAAAAAAACTGCTTCCCTACGAAGCACTGTCACGTAAATACGTTTCAAAGCGGGAGAAATTCCTTAGAGTGATTAAATTTTTGGCTCCAACAAAGCAGTTATTGAAATGTCAAAACGACATTCCTTTCATCCTCCATGAATTGAGGATGAAAATGAAAGTTGAATTGAAGCACGTTGCTGAAAAATTATCATAAAAGAACCACTAACGTAGCACCCGTAAGGAGTATTGAAACGACTAAACTATTTTGCCTCTCTTATTTTCTATGGAACAAAAGTTAAATCCAACGAAAACACAAAAGAAAAACAAAGACAAAATACGGCAGAGTTCTTCATAAATTGGATCGCGATCTTCCATTTACCAGGACAAACAGGGATATACTCGCCGACTTGAATAAAATGACGTCATTAACAGAAGACGCAAAATCCACTGCGGCGATAAGAGCGTATATGCGCACATTTCTAGTAAAAAAAAGCAACAGAGCACCGAGTGGAAAAACCTTGCGCAGCTTCCCGGCTCATCTCTGCAATCTCATCAATGTGCGCACAAAACTTCCATCTACACAGTCTAGCGTAATCCTGAAGCAAAAGCTCCAAAATTACTCTCCGAAAAATGAGAATCCATAATGGCTGTTGGTATATGTGAAAGAGAAAGAAGTTCCTAATTTTCGCATACTATTAACTTGTTAGCACGAGAAGCAACGCTGAAAACCTCCTTCCACTGAGAACTGAAGGCAAAGTTCCATTTTTAGGAACGCCTTTTGGCACGGAATATGCTATCGAAATAGCGTAACGCCCATCGTCTTATTTAGAAATTGGATTAAGTTGAATTACAGATTCCTTTCAGGCAAAAAGAAATCTAGTCAAGTAGATTCCCTCTCCACAGAAAAAAAACTAATCACAATCATAAGCAGCTGCTAAAAAAAGCATTGGATGCTCTGGAATAGGATGTGCTGTGCCTTGTACGTGACCCCTAATGAAAAACAGGAAGTAGCAAAATAACCCTAAGAAACTTATCTGGCATTTTCCGCCGTTCAGGCGGACAAACAAACAGATAATAATTAACAAAAATTGAGTGACGTCACGGCGACTACACGCTGGTTCACTAACTGCGCCCGTAGATTGCTCTAAGCTGTGCTGTCATCCAAAGCTGGACCTCATAACCGATTGGGCGCTAGTAGTGATATGGTATGCTATCAGGATGCGTTTCACAAGTTCTGATTCATGAACGTGCACCATGGTTCACGAGTCATTTAGAGATGCTGAATGATTGATTATCGAGAAAATGCGGAAAAAATATCACTCCTTAAGAGCCTACGCCGAGTCGAACTTGGTTGACCAACGCATGGGAAAGTTACACACTGCGTTTCCTTTTCAATGCCTCTAAAGTTCCCCTCTACTTTCCACTCCAGCGTCTGAACTGAAAATTTTCAGATGTTCAACGCACATAATAGTTTATCTCAACCTGTCCACCTCTCATAGTACATGCGCGATACCCATTTTGTTCATTATTGCAGTCTTTCGACCGATCCTCACTTTTAAGGATTTTGAGGCTGTTAAAAGGATTACGACTAGATTGGTTTTTGGCAATGCTTTTCAAGGCAGAAGTCCAGCTCTTCCGTTTGAGATAACGCCGTACAGGATGGCGGAAAGTAGCCAGACGGTATCTTGCTTTCACTTCATACTTCTCGTCTCACTCACGTGTGATGCTCACCTCTTTCAGCATTCTTTGCTTCACTGCACGACAGAGGAAGCCCAAAGAGGCGGATGTCGTTTCTACTGTTACCAACCCACAAAACTTCCTGCCATCTCTATGTTCCTGCCCTCCCACATGGGCTTCCAGTCTTTCGCGACGTACTGGAAATCACTTAATCCTTTACAAACTAACATCCTTATGCATGTTCTCCGTACTGTTCTTTACACATTTCCTAAGTTCTAACAAGGAGAATTTGTGAAACCATCAAGAGCTTCGTTAATTGCTGATCGTTTCCTTTATTCGCGTGACTAAAACATTTGATTCAAGGCATAAATTGTAAAGAGAAATTAGAACCTTGTCACTATTAGGGATTGAAGGGTTAACAGAAAGCGCTTCTACGATACACGATTGAGGATTTAGGTATTACGATGGCTCCGAAGTTTTTAAGATCCCTCGAACATTGAATGAACAAGGTAATCCACCCTTCAAGACCGCACAAAATCAGCCGACGAGAGAGGAAAAATTTCAGCTTTCTGTCTACCTTTTTATGTCCATGCTTAGTTTTTGTTTCTTCAAAGCAGCGGGATAAAGTGTTAGCAACAAGGCGAGCCCTCATTGGCTGAAACAGCATGGTTTATCAAAGTACAGGAGCACAGCAAGCTAGGGTGAACTGTAAATGTAAGATTTTTGCTTCTGTATTTTTGCGAATGTGACCGAAATCAAACATTACTCATGGCTCAAACAAACGCCCAGTACATGGGCTATTTTTTTTTACAGTAGGCGAGGACTGCTAGAGGCCATTGTTGACGAAAAAAGTGGAAGGCGATCAAATTTCATCCTTGAGAAGCGAACGTTAATTATCAATGTGCAAAACCGATGTGTAATCAGTCGAGGGAGTGTATTTGTAAATAATAACAATGATCATCATCATCATTGCAATAACAACAATAATAATAATTGGTAATAGTTGTAATTTCAATAATCTGGCATTCTATAATACAGTATGTGATTTTGAAATAAACTATAATTACGTCAAGTTAATTTTGTACTCGATAAATATAGAAAAATTTAAAGATGTCGGATTTTTCATGTGTTAAAGTTTTTATCTCAACTTTTTTTTTAACCGTTATTAAAGCATCATTTAATAAATAATGTTGAGCTATACAGACATAAAAAATATTGAGAATTAAGAACTAGTGATTCCTCTCCACTCAACAAAAAAATCATAATAATTTTCAAGATATAAAGAGGATTTCACATGCCCATGTGGAGATGCCTTCCTATCTTAGAGTGCCGATGGCACCATGAGAAGATAAAATTCACATCTCCCAGTGGAATGAGACAATTTCCCATTTTAAGGAAATAAAATACATTTTCCATTTTGTAGCAAAAAGGCTTAATTCATTTGTAGTAATATTGATAAAGTAAGGAAAAAAAAAACACTTTCAAAAAAGCATCATCAGGGGTTTATCACTTTATATTTGAAAGACAAGTGCAGAGAGTTCGTGCTGTTATGAGGATGTCATATTTTGGAAACTGGAGAAAAAACTAGGTAATAAATTATAAAATGAATTATGAATTGATGAAAGTAAAAATTTCAAATTAAAATATGATCATTGCAATTCAAGAGTGCTATGTCCCTATGCTGTACATGCACACTAAAGTATGAAGTCACTTATTTAATTTTGAAAGTGGAAATGTAAAAAAATATAATATATTAATTTAAAGATTGTTACATACAAATATATATTAAATTTTAGTATTATTCCCCAGCTAATAATTGCTTTTCTAACTGAAAACAAATTATGTGATAATTCAAAATATGCCCTTTCTTTTTCTGTTCCTATCTAAGAGAAATAATTTGTACTGTCAGAAGTAATATAATAGACCTCTGGTTTGTATGTTTCATTTACCAATTCCAGGTCTCAAATGAATTCCCAGCTTTATCCCTTGTAAATTATGTGTTAACATGTACATGAATAAGTAGAAATTTCAAAGATAAAGTTCCCTAGAGTATTATCACTTGACCTGGGGTGGTAAATGAAACATACAAACTGAAGATATCTTTTGACTTCAGTTGCACAAATGTTTAATCAAGCATGTAGCTGGCTCTGAGATAAATATCACCTCAAAAATATTAAGTTAATATTAATCACAATCAATTGATTTGATTCATTAATTTTGTTCCCACCAATCAGCTTAGAAAATTTATGGTCAGGATTCACTGTTTCACTTACTTGTTATCATGTAGAGGCCTGAAAGAAATGTTAATTTACTTGGCAATTTTCACAGAGCTGTTTTTCAATTTCCATCTGTCTTGGAGTGCTGTAATGATGCTACCAGGTAACTTTTGGTGGGTCAGTATCAGTTCTTGGATTCCCTTCTGAACCTAAGAAAAATTGTTTTAGCCCCTTAACTCCCAGAGGTGATAAGCAATGTAACTTCTTCCTCTAATATGTATACATTATTCAGAAAACAGGCACTGAGAATACTCAAACTTTTCATGTAGAAGTTGTCATCTTGATTAAACACCAAATTATTGTAACTAACTAATAAGGAAAAGTGTAGAGGCAAAAGGGAGAATTCACAATCTAATCTTAGGAGTTAAAGGGTAAAACAAATTGGTCCTAGTTGTTTGAAGATTGAATGACCATAGAGCAATTCACTGAAATTACCTTTTGTAATGGAAATGTCACATTAAGACAAAGCAATACAAGGAACTATCACAGAATCAGTACAAGAGTTATGTCTGTACCTTCCCAGCTAATTCATCACTGGTCAATTTAGAATCAAAGTAAATAGGATCTCCTATGAAGGTTCTAAAATCAAAAAAAGAACAAAGAACAAAAAGAATTCAAGGGAAATTGGTTGAGTAAATGTGGGTTCATATTACAAAAACCCCTTCTCAACACTTAAACCTTTAACTCCCATGAGTGACCAAGACAGAATTTCTCCTTACCATATCAATACAATATCGAGCAGACAAGTGATGAGAATAAAGAAAAATCTTAATGAGGGGATTATTAGTTGATTCAATACCAGATTCCTCAAACTAACATCGCAAAAACTATATGGCAGACAGTTAGGAGAATTACTAATGAGATCTTGGGAGCTAAAGGGTTAAACCTTTAGAAAGGTAGCTAAAGCTAACCTCTACTAAGAAGAGCATTCCTCACATGTGATATTCAGCATAGACTTCAAAACAGTTTCAGTGGTAGTGAGTCACAACGTAACCCTTGTCACAAATGCTAAAACATTTGGCAATGAGCACTTGTTAATGAGGAAGCACAAAAAATCAGACCACAAATATTGAACAAACAATTTCAACTTGGAAAGAGTTTTACAGCTTACTCTGGGAACTTAATTCCATTTTCAAGCTGACGGATCAGACATTGTAAAACTTGGGTAAATTGGTCACTAATCTCCTCCAATCAGAGAATCATAAGTCAAAATTTTTTTACAATGAGCTTTTAAGAAATATACCTCAACTTGACAGGAAAACCACCATACAATGGAACAAGTGGTAGCTTTGTCCATTCATATAACTTTCGAAACCATTCTGCAAGATGGTCAATTAAAACTCTTATCATCTTTAAATTAAGATTAACTTGCGATGAAACCGTGTTGTATTCTTATAATGCTCTTCATAACTACCGGTAACTGTTCAAGTCAGAGTGGGTCTAAATCAAAACAAACAATCAGGCAAGAGTTTCATAGTAATTGTACAACCTTACTCAAGATTAAAACATGATACTAATTAAAAGTTTCAAACGTGGTAAGTCAATGATTTACCTTAGGGAACAAAAAAAGCATGATATTTGGACCCGCTGAACCCTAACACTGGTATTGCTATTCTTAAACCTGTTCTCTTTACATTTCCTACTGTGCTGACATAAAGGATTTGTTTGACAAAAACCAGCTTCTAAAATTAGTAATAATGTCCTTTGTTCTCATGACTTTCACATTTGATTCAAGGGGAATACTATAAAGAGATATTAGATGCCAGTCACTCTTAAGGGCTAATGAGTTACATTAGTTTTTTCTTCCTTCAGTCTCTTAAAATCATAAATATCCCTTGTACTCACTGCGTCCAATTTGAATGGAGCGGATGGCTTCTCTTACATTCTGTGTATAAACAGGATAGATGGGCTGTGGAGAGAATGACAGAGAAAAACCTGCATAATGTAAGAAACATGGAAGTGAGCAGTCATCTGCCCCCCTCTCCCCTTTCCACATCCTCCCATCCCAAGTAACTTTGCCATGTCGATGTTGTTGATGCAAAAGTTACGAAATGATATTTCGTTTACCAAGTGTAAGCGAATGCAACTGGAAGCTGCATTAGTTAAAAAAATCTGAACTGACATAAGTTCAAAATCAGTCCAACTCCAACATCAAAACAAAAAGTTCACTACTGACAATATTTCACTAATTTTTTTACATGGAGCAAAGTAACTTTTGTATGGAGCAAAGTGACTTTGATTATGGAGCAAACTGACTTTTGATTAAAGCGAAGTGACTGGGGACGAAATGACCATGGGGTGAGGTGAAGTGACTGGATACCTTTCATGTTCTAAGGGGTAAGACTGTGGGGGTCCTGTATGAGAAGGGGGCTGAAGAAGAAGCATTTTCCTATTCTCCCTTAACCTTATAACCATGATCTGAATTAGCTAAGATGAATTTCTTTCTGACTCTAACCTAGAAGCCAGGATGAACTTGAGACCCTATTGGAAGGTAACTGAGTATCCCGTATCCTTTTAATATTTAGCCTTAATATCCCTTATCATGTTAATTCCACTGTTTTGTTTCCCTAAAATCTCTCAGTGTAGCCTAAATATCCCATATTGCATTAATTCCTTGGTTTGTTTCCCTATAATTTCACTTCAATACCCTGAAATCTCTAGTTTAAATACACCACATCCCATTAAATTCATCCTCAAGTATCCCATTTTTTACCCAAATGTCTTGTATCCCTATACCCCTAAAAGGACCTTGAGCTTAAAAGGTTATGCCTTTTTATAATTGATAACAGTGGCTGAGGTGAAATTGTGCATTAAAATAGTGACAGGGCTAGAATTTCAGCTTGAAAACTGAACAGCTTTTCTTATATGAACTGAATACCAAATTCCACCAGGTAACCACACCAGCCAGGGTGCTAAACAGACCTGAAATGGAGAGCCTTTCAATTTCCCTAAAGCAGAATGAATCTGTGATTAAATACTCACCACTTTGGCCTCAAGAGCTACTTTGGCAAATCCTCGCCTTCCATTCCATATCATAGTGTAATATTCATCAGAAAACAAAGCTTCCCTAACACCTCCTGGAGAAATGGCCAATAAGTCACCATTCTAGAAAAAGAATTTCCCTCATCAGTGAACAACAGGAAACTTAAAACTATGACTGTGCACCTTTTTTTTTATAATGCCAACTAAAAGTAATTACGACAGCCTATTATATTTTTAAAGGAGGGTGCATGGCAAAAAAGCCCTTATTCCAGGTGATTAACTTGTAACTTCTCCCTAAAATAACCATACATTATCCAGCAAACAGGTAATAAGAATACTCAAACTTATCAGGTAGAGGTTGTTATCTTGATCTTACACCAAATTCTCTTCACTAATTTATAAGGAAATGTGTAGCTGCTAGAAGGGAGAATTAAAATTAACACACAGAGTAACCTTGGATCTTAAACTTAGAGATGTTTATTGTTTGCCACTTGAGGGTCAAAGACACCTAAATCAAGTTCAATCCTGGGTTCTAGGTTATCACTGCGAGTTAAAAAATTTTGGTCTTCTATTAATAAATTCAAATTAACTTTTAATCATCGTTTATCAGCAAAATTCAAACCTTTAGAATCTCCACACATTGCTCTCTGGAGCGTCCTTCTACAGCTCCACAAACTTCGAGAAGCAACTGAATACCTTCAAGAAAATTAGGTATAAATAAGGTTAAAGGATATGGTGTAGTAACTATCAAGAAAAGAGTTTTTCAAATTTTTGTAAGGGATCATTTACTGCATATGAATGTAATGTATGTCTCAATCTGTTGTTACAACAAATTTACTCGATAATCAAGATTTTAATTTCACTCTCACTCACAGGAATTGTTCATTAAGCTAATGATTGGGCAATGTCTTTTTCCTTTGTTATTTTATCAATTGTTTTCACTCAAATTTACAAGTTAGTTTGATATATTATTATGTGTGTGTAACCATCAGAGAGTGCGGACAAAGTTTCTGAGTGATACAACATTGTAAAAATCAATAGTCTCATATTAGTTTTTTGCTGTTTTGCTATAACATTAAGATCGATTTGAAGTGTCCTGTTTTTACTGATGTATAGGAAAGAAGTATATTGGTTTTACAAACTTAATTGCTCAATAGATAATAACATGTCAAAGTTAGACAAAAGTTTTGAAACATTCTCTACATGCCCAAAAGTGAAAAAATTGAGTCAAACAGATACCAATAACAAACCAATCAAACTGAGGTTTACAGAAGATTAGTGGTACCATAAATCTGATTCACACAAACAGAATTATGTTCCAGGGCCAAAATTTTTATCAAAGCTTCTATCCTCTATATTTTTCAGAGATAAAAGTCATTAATCTATCAACTTTTAACCCTTTAAACTCTTAGAGTGACTGACTTCTAATTTCTCCTCATAATATCACCTCTGAATCAAATACAAAAGTCATGAGAAGAAAGGAAATGATCAACAATTTCAAAAGTTCCTGATTGACAAGCAAATTCTTCCTGTTAGTACCATAGGAAATGTATGGAAAACAGTATAGAGAATATGCATTCTGATGCTGGGGTGTAAATGGTAACAACCAAATCCATCCATCCACAAACCTGCTCAACAACTATTGAAATAGTTTGAATGTATAAAATTCACCATAACATATCTTTTCAAACCTGTTTTGATTTTTCCATTTTCTTTTTTCATGCCACTTTCCCTAATCCTCTGCAGATCATCAGTACAACTAGTAACTAAATATTATTTCAGCCTAGCAGGCCATAACAGCACAATACCTGGTATATGAAACAAAAATGTAGCTGCCACATTCCTCAGCCTTCTCTTTTTGCAAAGCAGTAGTCTAGATAGTATATAATACATATCCAGAGGCAAGGCCCCATGATAGTATATCAATAGTGCTGGTCCTTTGTCTGGTAACTTCTCCATTCCCACAAGGTCATAACCTTGAATGAAATAAAACAATAATTGACCTCAATTTTTGTAAAATTTCATAAGGTAGAAAACTGTGACAAAAAAAATATAAAGAAAGAACTTAGCTTTGTAATGAGCCTGGAACAAAAAGTCAGAGTTCAATCAGAATCCCCAATCAGAATCAAACCCCAGACTTTTTTGTGTTTGGCAATGATCTCTCAGTGAATTAGCTTCAACTTTTTACCCTCCATAACTGACTGATATGTAACTTCTCCCTATAATATCTATACATTATCAGGTAAAGAGGTGATGAGAATATTCCGACTTATCAGGTATAAGTTATAGCTTGACCTTACACCAAATTCTCCTAACTAATTTACAAGGAAATGTGTAGCAGCTAGTGAGGAGAATTAACAATCAGATCTTGGGAGTAAAAGTGTTTAAAAAAAGTCAATCTCTTCATAATAATTTCTTATTAGAACATCAGAAATCAGAAATGTCAAAATTTTAATTTTTTTTTGTTTTCCTCATATTTATATATATATATATATATAGGTTATTTGGTTTAGGAACATAAATATTACATAACTTTCCTCTCTAGAATATTCATTTCTCTCAGTGCCCTTTACCTTGCTTTCAGGCAAATGAGGAATCAAATTTCTAAGGATTTACTTTTCTCCCATTGGTTTAAGGATAACACTCCCACAGCACGCCCCTGACCCAATGACCCAGCAAGAAAACATGAGCTACTGGGAGAAAAATTTGGCTCCAACCTGACTAAAATCACACCAACAAAAATAACTCAAAGGAAAACAGCTTTTTATGACAACTCAATTTGTGTTTTCATACAAGTATTGTAGCACTGAGTCAATCTCAAGAAATGGTTTTAGGTAAATTGATTTTGAAAGAGACCTCTATGAAATATTTTTTTTGAGACCTGGGTCATTGGCACCCTCTCGTGTTTCCTGTTTCTCAAATGAACGTGATGGTTAAAAAAAACATGCAGAGATTAACCATCCTTAGTTTACAATATAGCTGTCTTAAAAAGTAGAATTACAAATACTTTTAGGTTTTAAGTAGATTTAATTCATCATGTATAGCATGGACGGTAAAAAATAAGGAATATTCTATTGCAAAACTTGTAAGTGACACCCCTATGAGAGATCACAGGATTTCCGGCTCTAGTTTCAAGAACGCACACAAGCTAGCTTTGGCCATGCAACCGGTAAGAAACATTTTAACGTATGCACCCAACGTAAAATTGCTAAGGTTGACGAGCTAGCCTATTTATGAGGCTACAGATGTATATTACTAAAACGAATAGAAATTGTTTACGTTCAATAGCTAAAACGACTGTTTTGGGAAAATCTGCAAAAAAGAAGAAAAAAAGAAAAGCGCAAACTAGAAGAGGCAGCAAAATACATGTGCGTATGTGCATCGCGCACCCATGAAACCTGTCTACTATTTATCAATTTCGCGAAGCACATGCAAGAAATACCTTCGTGACTAAAATTGTTTTTCTTACCATGCCAAAGGGAGCCATGCGCATCGAACACAGCTGCAACCGTTTGCATTGCACCGTCCCAATAATTCTCTGAGTATGCGTCGAAAATCTCGCGCCGTCTGTGACGATAAACGTGCAGAAAAACTGCAGCGCCATACATCATGATAAGCATTACAACTGGATAGACAAAGGCCACGACAAAAGGCGAGAGAAGGACCATTAGCCAGTCCATGGTTCTACTGCGCGACCTCACTTAACTACGCGCGGGTCGCGGTTCCGGTGAGATTTTTATCTTTTGGAGAGGAACCTGGTCCTCACTCTCTAATCAGTTTAATCAGCTGAGATGAGATGTATCCCTTCATTTCAAATGTCCTTAAGTGTACCCCGATAAAATAAAAAAGCGCTCCAATGGCTGCTTCGAGCAAAAAGATTAAATAGAACTTCTTATATTCACTGCTTACAAAATTTTCCTCATTTTCTTTTTTAATGTCAATCTTTAATTGCATATGTTAAAGTAACTCATTGTACTAACCTACACCACACCCTATTTAACCGCTGACATAGAGGAAGTATTCCAAACGGATCCAATTACGAATGCCGAAAATTTTACCGCTCCCTTCAAGACCAAACAGTCGCGATCGTGAGAATGCTATTTTAGCAGTAGAGTGACTACAGAAAAAGTGATGGATCCCCACCTACGAAATTTGATCTGGAGTGACATCGAATACAGACTCTTCGAGTTTGTTGATCGCTTTCCTTTGCCTCAAATTGTCAAAGTGCAAGAAGGTTACTATGGCCCAACTGAAGACTCATGCATTGGGGCCGAACAGATCCTCACGCTACATTGCGTGAAAACTACAGAGAAAGTTTTAGCTCGAGACAGAAAGAAACGAGAGCTTCATATTCCTTTGAACTGTTCACAGAAGGTCGAGCTTCGTCCCGCCGAGTTCAGAGGAATTTACGAAACCGTGGAGGAAATTAGTAGAATTCCAGCGAGATTTGTAAGGGTGACCCAAGGGTATTATCTGGAAGAAGAAGCAGTGAGCCTGAATCCCGGAGATAAACTGGAAGTGATCCGCGTGGAGCATGGAATTGGAGGGAAAGAGGACTGTGTCGTGTTCCTTACTGAAGAGCGCAACCCCATTCGCTTACCTTTTAGTGTCAGTGCTGGATTCCAGTCCCTGCTTGATGGACGGGAGTACTATCTGAAGGAGCTAATGATGTCGTCATTTAAGCTGCCAGTCTACTTTCAGTTCACTGAACCACCTTCTATCACTCGAAGATCAAGTGAGGGCGTTTTTAACACATCACTCGGGGTGCTGTCATTTGAAAAAGTGTATCAAGATTCTACCATTATTTGCACTACTAAAGAAGGTAGCGTTAGAACAGTGGTCAGCTGCCCCAAAGATCTTCCAGTCACAATCAATGTGGCTCGTGGGGCACTGTCAGATGACAAGGATTATGTCCGCATTTGTCGCTTGTTTCACGATGGGGTCAGTCTTTTGAAGATTGAGAACATGGAGATACAGAACATTTATGCATCGAGGAACACCATCAGGGAGTATGAGTATATTGCAGATGATTCATCACCACCCCCACCTGTTCCTCTCCGTGAAAGTGCAGAGGACTCTTCTTCATCCAGTAGTCAGGTACCTGGAGCAAGTAACTCTGATTCTGGTGATGACAGCCATGAATACACTTACATCGACGAACCTGTGCCAGACAAATTCACCCTTTCCCAAGACCTGAAGCCAAATGGTGTCCTACCATCTGATGGTAAGGCTTCAGCAGAAATGGTGAATCTTGATAAAAATCTGGATAAAGTGGCTATCAATCATGATGATGAAGATGATGATGCCTACCAAAATTATCCTCCTCCTGTCATGAAAGGTGTTGAACCAACCACAAATAAAGAGCCTGTCAAACCTCCACGAAAATCAAAAGAGGCAGCACAACAGAGTCCTAAAGAGAATAAGCCAGAGGTAAAAAAGATCCCACCAGCTATCAAGCCAAAGCCACCTTCAATAAAGGCCAAGCCAATGGGGAAGCAGAATGAGAAAGAGAAACAGTTTGTTGTACCAGATGATCTCTCCCAAATGTCCATAAGAGAAGTGTCCCAATTTTTGAGACATTACAGTTTTGAGAATTTTGTGGAATTATTTGCTGAAAATGAGGTGGATGGTGACCTCCTTGTCAATCTGACTGAGGAGGAGCTTAAGGCACTGGGGCTGAATGCTTTTCAGTGCAAGAAAATATCAAGACTTGTCAATGGATGGAGACCTAAAAAGTAACTCTGAAAGTAAGATACATGTACAAGCAGTATACATTTTCTAATTTTGGACATTAGAGTTGGTTCATAGTTTTAAATCTTGGTTAACTTTGTTTATAAAAAGTGTGCTCAGTTCAATATTTTCTCAACTCTTTAACACCAAATATCAGATTGTTAATTCTCCCCTCTAGCTGCTACAAATTCCCTTGTAAATCAGTTAAAAAAATGTAGTGTTTGATCAAGATAAATTCTATCAGATAAGTTTGAGTATTCCCATCACTTGTTTGCTGGATAATGTCTGGATATTATTAGGAGAAGTTGCATGTTAATCATCTCTGGGATTTAACAGGTTAATACGGTTTTCACATATATGATTTTTTGCATATATGAAATATGATTTGAGTTATCCTTGATTGTATGCTCTCATAGAGTATAAAAATGAGTAGTATCAGTATCATCTATACATCAGTATGCATATTGTCTAATCTGTTTTGTGTAGATTTCCTGATGTACTGACATAAAATACTAATAATAAAGTGAATATTTATACAGGATAGCCCTACAGTGCAAGAGTACTTAGTGTTATCAAAGGGGTCCTGCTTAAAAACATAAAATATAAGGATAAAAAAAGGAAAAAAATGACTTTGTTACTTATGCAAATGTAAACTACACTATAAAAAATATTCATCTACAGACTTCCTAAATAATAAGCTACCACTAATCTGCCTAGTTTTTATAGGTAAAGAATTAAAAGTTGAAGTGCCTAAAAAATAATATCTTTTCCAAGCAAATTCAAGTTTTACTGAAGAATCTTTGTAACAATCAAGAGCTTTCATTGGCAGCCATTTCCTTTATTTTCATGACCTTAATGTTTGATTTAGCAGCAATACTGTAAGGAGAAATTAGATGCATGTCACTTTTAGGGGTTTAAGAGTTATTAAGAAATTCAATATTGGAACCATTAACTTGTGTTATTGGTTATGTATGTTAATGGTATGTTTTTTTGTAGTTAGCAATGGTACAGTAACTCTTAACCCTTTAACTCCCAAGATCTCAATAGTGATTCTCCTTACTGTCTGCCATACAGTTCTTGTGATGTTAGTGTGGAGAATTTGGTATCGGATCAGCTTATAATTCACTAATTGATATTTTTCTTTATTCTCATCACTTGTCTGCTTGATATTGTATTTATAATGTAAGGAGAAATTCTGTCTCGGTCACTCACAATTAACACTAACAATTAAGTTCTCTTCTCTAATGTAATACATAATCCAGCAAATATTGATGATTACAGAAAATCATTTCAATTGTAGGTAGCATCATGGTATAACACCACTTAGAAAAAAAACTGTTTAACATTCTCCTTACATGTTCACAACAAAATTTTTAAAAAGCTAGATGGGAGAATTATTGGTGTAACTTTTGGACAGTCATGGTTCAAAAACTTGTTTCTTTAATAAGAGTTTTACTGGAATTGTAATCCTCAAAATATTTCATGTTTTATTAGGTGGCCAAGTTAAGTATTATGCTATACAGACTTTCAAGTCTTTAAAGGTTTACCTGTTAACAGTTTATCTAACTTTGTTTATTGATAAGCTTTTACTATATTTAAGCTATTTGTTTAGTTATTGAAAGGAGACATGCAATGTTATAAGATACTTACTGTAAGAAACATGCTGGAATCATGTATGTTATCATAGACTTTTATATTTTAACAATGCTACAGGTAACATTTCTGTTCATGGCGTAAGAGAATTTTCTATATCAGTGGCAGCATTGGGGGGGGGGAGATTCTTCCAGAAACACATTATTTAATGTTAATTAAATATCACAAAGTGTGGATGGTGAGCAAGACAGAATGTAATAATAATTATCCAATAATATATTCAAGGTATGATTTTTTTGTAGTTAGCAATAGTACAGTAACTCTTAACCCTCTAACTCCCAAGATCTCAATAGTGATTCTCCTTACTGTCTGCCATACAGTTCTTGTGATGTTAGTGTGGAGAATTTGGTATCGGATCAGCTTATAATCCACTAATTGATATTTTTCTTTATTCTCATCACTTGTCTGCTTGATATTGTATTTATAATGTGAGGAGAAATTCTGTCTTGGTCACTCATGGGAGTTAAAGGGTTAACAATTTAAATTTTGTAATAAGCACAATACTTGCCCATACATATTTTGATTTGACTCACTTAAAGCTTGCTGTAGAGTGATTAAAGGACTACAAAATAAAATCCATGTCAGATTTTGATTGAGTTTGGTAAGATTCCTGATAACTTGATAAAATTAAGGACACTTGTAGCTCCTTCTCCTTTCCATAATCCAATCATCTATGGGAATAAAAGCTAAAGATTACACAGTGAAGCAGTCATCAATATCCCTTGACTCTTCTCAACCAGCATGAGCTAAAATAATGAAAATGTTGGAAAATCGAAGTAATTTTGCTTCAACTTGCACTCACATCTGGCCTTTTCCCTGATATTCTTTATTTGAATTCTAAAAATAGCAGTAAACACATTTGGACATATGCTAATCCAGACATGATTAGATGGTCGTCATGATCTTGGGAATCTTGTTCCCTGACAAGAAATTTTATTTGGTTCCAAGTGGCACCCATAGTTCACGTCTTCAATTTTAATGATATTTAGAGCATGCCAGCATTTTCTTGTTATCATTTTTTGGAAATATGAGGATCTATAATTGCACTTGATCCAAAGAGGAGAAAGTATGAAGAATTCTACAAGAACTATGATGCAGAGAAAGTTGCTGAACAGATGTGGGTCAAGGAACAAGCTCATCAAGCACAAGCAAAATTGCACTATACTGAAAGAATCAACTATAGTGCACATGTATCACCAACAGGCAGGAACTAAACTCCTTTAAATAGCTTATGAAGTAATAAAAGATTTCTTTCTCTGCTATTCTAAATTTGCATTAAACTTAGTTTTAAAAAATGTGTTTCTACAGAATTATAAAACCAATTCTTAATCCATGCTTTTGCATTATAAAATGTGTTTTGCAGCTATGGAGTTTGGATTGTCAAGGTTGGGTTACTTTTGGTGGGATCAAGACATTACAGCATGGCTCATTATAGCCTGCAGAGCAGGTGTCTTACTTGGGCAAGCTAGCATTACAAGCTAGCCTCCCCCCTGCCTCTCTATTCTTTTAACTGTCCCTCACCCCCTTGGTACAAATTCCTTTCTTTCCTCAGAGTTTGAATTGTCAAGGTTGGATTGCTTTTGATGGGATCAAGACAGAGCATAGCTCACTACAACCTGCAGAGAGCAGGTGTCTCATTTGAACAAGCTAGAGTTACAAGCTCACCATTGTATATCTGGCTGGACATATTTGACTTAGAGTTAGGAGGACAGGGTAGTGAGCTAAGAACCCCCCCCCCCTCCTTTCTTTTGACTGTCCCTCATCCCCCTGCTACAAATTCCTTTCTCTCCTCAGTCTTCTGCTGCTGTAAAATCAAAGATGGCAGCTATTATTTTCACCAAAAAATACTGAGCACTTGGTTGTCAAACTCATGACTGTTCTGTAGACTAAGCTCATGACAAAGTCTCCTTCTTAATCCCAAATTCACAAGTCTAGGTTTTGATTCCTAAAGGGGACTCAGAATTTTTCCTCTGTTCCATGCTTGAGAGAAGACACAAAATATCTTTCTTCATTCCTTGCTTAGACCCACCATGAAAAAAAAAGAGGGTTCAGTAAAAATATTTGTAATTGTATCAATGTAGCATAATTTTTCCACTGGTTTTGAAGAGAATTGCAGCACAGATATTGAGTCTAAAAGAAACTGTGGTGCTTCATCGGTAGGGAGTATTACATGATAATTTGGCGATATTAACTGTGTTTATGATTTAGATTGGCTATTGTCGAGAGCTTCTAAACCTGATGTTTTGAGCATGAGCCCAAAATCAGACCCAAGCATAATACATGTATGGTTGGATATAACCATGAGCCATTACAACAACTTTTTATCATACAAGTTAACAGTTCAAAAAGCAAGAAAATTATACAACTTTATTTTAGTTGATCATGAAAAACAGCCCGATTAAACTACCAGAAATGAATTCAAATGAGTTTGCACAAAATAAATTTTATGTCTTTACAAGTGTAATAGTTAAAGCAATAACAATCCAGCTTAAAAGGCTTGCTTTCACAAGAAGAAATATTGACACAAACAAGTAGAATTTAAGAAAAAAAAATTACAGAGATGCAGCTTTCATCAATGTGTTGAGTGTTGGAAGAAATCTAGAAGGAAACAAAGATACAATTAATGAATGTGCTGCTTTCACAATTAAGTATGTCATGTAGCCACCAATGAGCACTCTCCAGTAAGAATGCTTCTCACTACATGACATTCCTTTCCATGAAGTTGATTCCATACCAAATGTCATGCTCTTAACACAGATAAATGGAAAAATAGTGACCAACATTTGCCTATCAAAGAACCACAGGTACAAAAGTAGAATTATATGACTGTGAGATGGTATGTGAAGTTTTTCACAATCGCTATAGAATCCAATGGTTTTTTTTCCAAACTATCATGAAATTGCTGACTACAACTCAACAAGATCTGCTTTTATTTATTTTTTTATTTATTTATTTCTCTTAAAAAGTGGCCATCTTCAAGACAGCTGAATGGCCATCTAGCTAAAAGCTTGGTTGTCATCAGAAAATGTAATAGATGTGTAATCTGAATTGAGAAGCCAGCTTAGTAAGGATAAATAATCAAACTTCCTAGTAGCACTATACATCCAAAAAGTATTTCTCATTATTTACTGTTTCCATATCAAAATGAAATCAGGATATTTTTTTATTGCCAAGGGTGTGTTAATACCAGAAAACCCCCATAAAAAGACACATAGCGCAAAATGGAAGAACCATCAACAAACTCAAATCATGTTTGAAACCTGATGTAGGAATCAAACCTTAGCCACAGCAGTGCAAGGCCAGCACTCTTCCAACAGTTATATATTGGTCTCTTTCTGTTAATTATCTCCTTAAGAAGACTTACCTACTGTGCTTGTGCTTGACGAGCTTGTTCCTCAACCCACATCTGTTCAGCAACTTTCTCTGCATCATAGTTCTTGTAGAATTCTTCATACTTTCTCCTCTTTGGATCAGCATAGCCAAACTTCCATATGCAGCCAGCAATAATGCCCAGCCCAATGGACCTCAAAATAGCTCTTTGGAGGTTTTTCTGCACAAAGCCACGAAGTTGAGGAGGTGCCATAACTGAGGGAAGATGCCAATATGTGTATGTCATACAAACTTCTTGAGTTTCAACAACAACTCTTTATACCCTAACATTAACATTGAATTTCATATTCTCTGCACTGCATATTCTCTAGGATACTGAAATGAAGAATTTTTTTGACAACCAAAAGCTTCTTAAATTAGCAATCATTCCCATCATTCTCATGACCTTTACATTTGATTCAAGGGTGATACTTTAAGGAGAAATTAGAAGCCAGACACTTTGGGGGTGAAAGGGTCAAGGTTTCCAAGAAGCTTCTTTGAAAACATGGCACTGTATGCCCTATTAAAAGGTAAATCAGTGCTGTAGGCCCAAGTTCTCTTGGTATATCTCACATTTGAAAAGAAATATAAATTTAATTCAACTTCTGGACTGCTTTGATAGCTGCGTTTGTAATTCACAAAGCAATCAAATAAGTACAAGATCGGGATCGATGGGTGATCATCGGGTATAACTTGCCCTAGGTTCGCCAGTTTAGCCTAAAACCGATTACGCTATTACAATGATATGTACGAAGTGTAATCTCTTCGTATAATTCCGTGAGTTTTTAAGATATATCAGCCTGGATTGAAATTATCCCGAACGATGACGATATTTCGGGCCCAAAATTGAAAGCCAAAAGCATTCAAGTGCACAAAAATAATAGGGATGTTTGAAAATCATAAATTAGACAAAAAAATAGAACTCAGATTACCTGAAAATCCACAAAATAGAGAGCTAAATGACCCTATGGTTTAATTCCACTTCAGTTCGCTCAAGTTCGTATAACTAATACAGCTTCTGCGCGTAATCAACTTGGGTAAGTTTGCTGGCCGGATGTACCGTAAGACACGAACAGTGCACGAAATCTACAATACCAGTATCTGCGCCTGGCATGGCACCGATCCAGCTTATAGCTAAGGTCTTGAGGAGCCCATTAAGTTATTGCAAATAAGGAGTTGCAACATTCTCCTTTAATTGGTTTGGATAGCAAGGTAAAACATCGGCATTGAAACGGAGTGTCTGAGAGATGCAACCGCCGGTCCGATCTTATGAACATTTCTGTTCTCCGCGAAAATTATCAGTTGTTATTGAGAGAGACAGGAGCTCGTTCGCAGCTTATGCCCGTAGAATATAGCGCAAACTTTGGCTAGTTTATGTCAAAAATTTTTTTTGCGAAAACAACATGCCTCGATCCAAGCTCTTTAGCGAAAGAGCTCAATCGCAGCTTATGCCCATATAATTTAGCGCAAACTTTGTCCAGGTTACGCCCGAATGTTTTTTTGTGAACAACAACATGCCTCGACCCAAGCTCTTTAGCGAAAGTGACTCTCACAAAGGCGTGGTGGCGCGGTCAGTTTTAAAAACTTCCTGTAAAATTGTCACGTGATCCGTTGTGTTCGTTCGTCTGGTGCAAAATGGCGGTTTGATCGTCTGATAGATTCGGCATTAGACTTCAAATCTTGCCCATGCCTGACAATTTCCAACTTGAAAACGATCGGATTCTTACGGTATTATCGAACGCTAACGGTTCTTTCGGGAAATGAGTACGGAGAAGGGCGAAACGAAGAGAAAGAAAGGTATAACATGGGCTGAAGCCGCCAAACAGGTAAACTGCAATGGTGACACAATGAATGCAATGTCAGCTGACTCGGAGCTCTACGATTTTTTCTAAGCAGTTACATCATTAATTGAGGAGTATCAATTTTACTTGTAGGTGCTAGAGAGGTCTACCGAGCCGCTTACACATAAAGACATCCTCAAAGTCATTAAGGAAGAGGGTTTGCGCGATTTGAGGTAAGTAACAGCGATGCGTTCTTCGCCAGTTTGTGATTGACAGACTTGAAGATTAGTGGCAGTTCATTGATTTTGTTGGTGAAGAGGTCCCTTTTTCGTGATCATGACGTTTTTATAAGGCCTGTGTAATATTTGACCCCAGTATAGTACAAACTCACCAACTGTAAAATGATTTTGAACAATCGAAACAAAGCTAAGGTATTTCGAATAAAGTTGCGCTTTATGGATGCTGGCGACCTTTACTTTTTAATCTACAGTATAACATAGATTGGTACGAAGATTGAGTTTTTTCTTTATTTTAGCAGGACTTTTGAGCATTTTATTACCTATTCAAAATTGGCCGACTTTTTTTGGTTCGATTTTTTGCTACGAAGAAGATTGTATAAGTATTCGTGAATCAATTTAGAGGGGGAATGGGAAGGAATATACCAACTTTGGGATCTTGGACCATCTCCAAGTTCTTCGGAATTGAATTCCTTAAATATCAAATTTTCGTGGGCTATTAGCCAGGGAGGCTTTATTTTGATATTGCTCTGTTTGGTTTGTATATTATTTTGTTTCAATTATTTCCTTTGTTATTTATTTATTTATTTATTTGTTTTTCAATAGTTTTGAGTTCATGCACATTTTTAAATTTTTGTTGTCTTTTGCAATGAATGCTGCGTGATAGAGAGAATACACCATAATACCATAGAAGGAAATGAGATTTAGAGTGATAATAATTATTGACCATGAATTGAATCTTGCAAGGGTAAACATTCACTCTTAATGGAGTGTTGTCAGCCAAGTATCATCACCATCATCATTGCAGTTCCTTCCCCTCTTCCCTTGTATCTACCAAACCTCTTTGAATTCATAATGAAAACTATTGCATGTGACTTTTGAGTGAATCCTTTGCCCTATGATGACATATACTTCCTATAATCCTATTATTACTTGACAGCCGTGGGACAGCGCCCTTAGCGTGTCTTAACGCTATGCTTCACCATCACTCTCGTGGGCCAAATGATCTATTTATTAAAGTCGAAGGACGAATGAGTTGTTACCGACTCAATGTAAGTGCTGATGGCTTTGCAACCAGATTTACTTGAACAATAGTGATTTGCCAAGATGAGCATTTTACTGATATGTAAGCTGAAATTCTTACATTGAATTGGGAATTAAACCCAAGTGGAATCCTGAATTTTCCCGTTTCCTTGGGAAAAACAAACTGGTTTCAATAATATGGAAAAGCAGTTCAAGCTCAAATTATTAAGATTTTCAAGAAACATAGAGTATGAAAAATAACGATTCTAATGTTTATGATTTCAAACCTAGCAGTTGAAAGAGTTTTTGTCTTTTTCCTTTCATGAAACTTTGCTATCTGTTTAATTACACTGGTCCAGTAGTAACAATTTGATAAGAGTTAAACTTAAGACTCAACCACATTGTGATTTATCTGTTCAATACTAAAACTGTTTGTTTTTTTCATTAAAGCCAAACAGGGTTGAAACTTCAGGAGAAAATTCTGGTGAGTTGCATTTCACTATGTCTCTTAGTTTAGTTAATCTTTAACTCCCATTAATGACCAAGACAGAATTTCCTCTTACAATATCAATACAATATCAAGCAAACAAGTGGTGAGAATTGAAAAAGCAATTGTCAATTAGGGGATTACTATTTGATCCAGTACCAAATTCTACTTAGAAGCATGATAAGAATTGTATGGTTGTCAGTAAGGAGAATTGCCAATGTGATCTTAGGAGTGAAGGGGTCAAAAGTGAAGCTTTTATATCCTTAGCGAATGAAAGATTTTTGGTTTCATATTTATTTTATTTGCTATATCACAGCACAAGACTCTGATTCTGACCTTATGGATATGACTGATGATGCAGAATTTAGCATGTTCCTTGATAAGGAGAGTGTGAATGGATCTCATCTCAACAATGGAAAAGTTAAGTTACCTATGGGAACAAATGACATTGTAATGCCACAGCTGAAACCACCGCCGCCCAATCTGTCCCCTAGGGAGACCAAACCAAAGGCAGCACTTACAAAAGATGGACGACTACAAAAAAAACGGGGTCCAAAACCTGGACCTCGCAGTCAGTCATCAAACAAAAGACCAAGGTTGAGTAGTACAAGGCCAGTGCCAAAGATGGTGTTGAAAAATCTCAAAGTAGGTACCATTGAAAGTGGATCAGGAAGTAATGGAAGGAGTGGGAATGGGAAAGTAAGTTTTGTTTGCTATTAATGCTATGCTTGATTTGATAAACGGTAGTTGAAATATAGCCTGGAAGTAAACGAAATGACATTGTAAGATTCTCTCTCTGACTGGAGGTTAATAGTACACACATCAGCTTTGAAAAATGTTTACAGTGGTCAATTTGCATTATCAACTCAGTTAATAAAACTTAATTATGTCATAAGATGAAACATGTTGAGTGAACTGTGAATGCCCAATTAGATTCATTGCCACCACTTGAAAAGAAAAGCAGCAGCTTTGAAATTAGAAGATAATCCTGTCATAAGCAGTTGCTGCAATTGGGAATTAATTTCCAATGTAAGCAGGGATGAGTATGCATCACAATAGTTATTATTATTTACTCAGCAGGTGAAGGCTCCATCCGTTCTCATTCCACCCTCATCCAAACTCATACCTCCATCTAGTGCATCTGTTACAGCCAATGCTATCGCAAGCCACAGCTTTCCCAGGGTTCCAAGTTCAGTTGATGGTCTGGAAGCTCAAGAAAAATTGGAGAAATTTTCTGACCTATGGACATCATCCAAGGTTGGTATCCTGTGGTGTTAGCTAGCTTCTACTTGGTACTTGATTGAGTTCTCATGGTAGAGTTATGGGTGCTTTGGATACCTTTCAATGTTTTTTCACGCACTCAGCTTGCATTATTTTGGTTATGTCCCTGAGACAAACAAAGTGAAGTTCTTTAGCTGAAATTCAACTGTCAAGCCTTAACTTTTTGACTCATTGCAATATCACCTTGAATGAAACACTAAGGTTATGAGAAAAGGAACTGATCACCATCGGAAGAAGTTCTTGATTGTTACACAAATTCTCCTCATCAGCATGTAAGGAAATGTTTAGAGAACAGTATAGAGAATAACCATATTGATGGTAGGATGTAAAGAGTAAATTAAAAGGTTTTGAAAACTTTACAACATTGCTAGAAAGTTTTAAGTGTTGGTTGATGCACATGGAAAATAGATTGCATTTTATCCTAGACTGTGAATATTAATTGAACTGTGGTACATTCCTATGGTAGAATTGCTGGTATAAATTTTGTATTTCTGATTGCACTTATGGATTGAATCCTATTTTAGCCAAGAAGATACAAGAAAATGAGTGTTGGTGAGTGTTATCAGACTAATGCTTGTTAGCAATTATGGTTACATGTTTTGAGTATATTCAGAGAATACAGTAAATAGTTGACTCTTTAACTCCCAAGACTTACTAAGGGGATTTTACTTTACTTTATCATTACATTTTTAAGCAGAAGGGTGACGAGAGGAAAGAAAAATATTGATTAAAGGATATTGATTGATTCAGCAAGAAATTCTCAAAGCAAAAATCAAGAGAAATGTATGGGAGACAGTGTTGAGTATTGATGTTTTGATCTTGGAAGTGAAAAGTGTTCACGCATTTAGTCATTTTGCTGATCAGTCCCAGCTTTAAGATCCAACATGTTATTACCAAAACATGCAGTAAAGTTCAATGCCAAATTTATGAGCTCTCTGTATGCTGTGATCAGTTGTTCTCGTAACAGACATTTTGAATCCAAATTTACCAGTCTCAACTTTGGAATGTGACCTTTGAACCTAAGAAATATTGCACTTATTTCCTGAGTATCTCAGGTTGAACTCAACAGTGTGCTGTGTATAGAGGTAGTGAACAGATACTGTAACAACTCTTTTATCAGTGTTGTCCACCATTCTGAAAGCTCCTTACAAAATTGTGAAAGTCCTGAGCATATCAGCAGTATTCAAGGATTGCAGGATACTTAATGTATTCTGTTTAATTTTTCAGCTGCACAGTTAAAGAGAACTAAGGAAGGACGCGTAGACATACAGTCTCCAGACTCGATTCTCACTAGTATTCCCCTTCGTGTAAGTAATGTCCTTTGGTCATCATTTTTGTCACAGTCCTGCAAAGGAACATGACTTTTCAATATTTTGTTAACCCTTTCACTTCTCTTAATGACCAAGAAAGAATTTCCCCAACGATTTCCATACAATATCAAGCAGACAAGAGATGAGAATGAAGGAAAATATAGATAAGGGAATTATAACTTGATCTGATACCAAATTCTTTAAATTAACATCATTAGAATTTTATGGTACATTGTAAGGAGAAGATATATTGTGTTGAAAAATTAATTCTACGTAATCTTTTTGCAGTCTCTCATCAACCAGCGAACATTTAATATGTTGCCACAATGGTATCAGTACAAGTTAGTGACTTTACTACCAAAAGTTGACCGGGCAATAGGCCATGATGGAGCTTTAAGGTTTGTGCTTGGCATCCGTTGCTGATGCAAAGAAACAATATTGATCAAAACTTTGAGTCATTTTCATGTCTCAGTTAGATAGAGGAGAACCAGACAAGGGAATATTTGGATCTAGGTCATGATAAATGAATGGAGAGCTGGCAGGGGGCAGTACAACTCTTTCTCTTTCTCTTTTTTACGTCTACCCATCCTTCCCTACACAGGATAATTTAGAATTATCAACTGAGTTGATAATGTAAATTGGCCAATGTAAAGAGTTTCAAAGGTTTTGTCAGCATCCTGAAGCTCAAAACATCAGCTTTGAAACACTTAACAAAGGCCAATTTACATTATCAACTCAGTTGATAATACTAAATTACCCTGCTATACACTCCACCGATGCAGCACCAAAGTTTATTCAAAAACTTACCCCCTTTATTCATCTGCCCAACACAGGTCAGCTTTTACTATGGTTTATTTTGAAATTGCATGCGCTAGGCCGTACAGATCTTAAAAGGAATTTCCTTATTTCTAACTAAATGTTTTTATGAGCAGCAGTAGATCAACAAACTGTTCTTTTTTATTTTCAGACCATCACACACTGCATTCACAAATGAGTTCTTTGCAAGTGCATGTCATTCTTGGAAAGACAGGCTTCAGGATGGTAAGAGGCATAACTTTATGGAGCAATTTTCAATTTATTATTCGAAGTAATCTGGGAATTATGAAAGCATTTACTCCAATACCATCCAGACTGGTCATAAATTGTTTTGTCTTATTAATTTTAAAGTAGCTAGTGATTCAGGAACAAGTAGCCAACACGGGGAACACTGTTAATACTCCAATCTATCATGTGGGACAGTCAGCAAGATCGCGTTTTTTACTAACAACTTCTAGTTTATGTTTCATGGATTGATTCCTTCTGCCCCCCAGGTGACTTTATGACTGATATGCAACAGAGGATGAAACAGGAGGAAGAGAGACTTGCAAAATTGGATCCTTGGAAGGTGATGCAGAACGTAGTGTGTGATGATCAATTATTTGTGTGGCGCAAAGGTTTTTTTATTCTTAATTGTTAACAGTTACCTTTGCTGCAAAGTGGTTGACTTTATTATGTCTTTTCACACCCGCGTGAAATTTTTGCTTTGCAGGCCAAGTTCTTCGAGCCTGTCTGGGGAAAAAGGTATGTTACCTTGCTTTTGATTTTTTTTTGTGTTTGTATCAAAAGGCGACCGTCAAAGAGAGGAATGACTGTACCACTCTTTAACTTTCCCTTATTTTCCGCACAGGAACATTCCAGACAATTCTTTATCCCAAGACCCTACAGATTCCTACTTCACAGCCCCACTCTCCCCGGCGCCAGCCTCGTCACCAAGAAGCACCATGACTGCAAACCATAAGGATCCCACCCTGGGTAGGTCACAACTCAAATCACCAAGGGTGGCAAGTGGTATGATACAACCGCTGACAGTACCTGTACAAAAACTACCGGCGCATTGTCTTCCTAAACGAGTCACCGAGTCAAGGAGATCCGAAGCCGCTAAACAGCTCCGTGCGAACGCACGTACGTCTCGACCGCGGTCCATACCAATTTACAAAATGGTCACTGTGGCGGTTGCCACAGAAGCTCTTAAAGCTGTAAGAACTTGCGCTCCACCGTCCATGCTTACTGCTAGTACGGTGTACGCGAAAAAACGGACAATAAAGACGCCTTGTAGCGAGGCTTCAACTGACAGCGCGTTGTCTCGAGAAACGTCAGCAGCTTCCATTTCTACTCCGTCGATTCTATCCCACGATGCTGTAGAGCTCCGTGCTCCCGCCTCCCTCATAAAACCGAGACCTCCATCCCGTGCTGCCATGCGTCAACAGGTGGCAGCCAACCGGGAGGATCTAACACGACGAGGCTCTGCTTCGGGCACTGCTACAAGAGGTGGCTTTACGTCGACTACGGTGTCCGCTAAGAACTTTAACAGATCGATGCTGCTTAAGAGTTGTTCTTGCCGTCTGAAAGCGATGGAGGTTTGCAGAAAATGCGGAGCATTCTGCCACGATGACTGTATCAGCGCGGCCCAGCTCTGTAACTCGTGCGTCAGTGTTAACTGACCGACGCCACATGCAATATGTTCATATCATTCTGGTCTTAAAAATTAAATTTCACTTGTCCTTAATAGAGATAATCGCGCTTCCGTTGCCACCAGAAAGTTAACACCTCACGGTTGAGTTTTTGTTCACTATTATTATTATTTCTCTGTTTGCTTTTACCTTTGCTTTTTGAGATCTTTCCAAATGTTAGACAGATTTCGCTTGATGTGAATGCCTCGTTGGCGTCAAAACCGCGCGATTTTTAGTACTAAATACTTCGCCTCCATGAACAAGACCAGAGGGAAAAGTTTTTACATCGCTTACCAGTCTATTTTTGATTTTGATTTCAAAAAAGTGTAAACTTAAACAAAAAAAAGCCGTCAAAAACTTTCAGGGTGACTGCGGTAGCGCGATAATAGCTGTAACATTTAAGGTAGACAAACTTTTAATCATCTTTTTTAAATCTTAAGTCGTATCACGATAACCGTTGAGCCTCAGGCTTTATTGTACAAGACACTCACTAACACAGATTGGTCACTTCAGGAGCTAAATCACAGTATATACATTTTGAAAAATTGTCCCCTAAGTTTTTAAGTTTGTGTTCTGTTCTATAGTCCAGTCTTCTCCTCCAAGATGCAATTTTCCTTTGAATGCCCAAAGGAATCTGGTATTGTGAAGGCTATCACTGCGCTCTGTGACTGATCCAGAAAACTCGCGCCACTTTTCAACCGATCACAATCTCGCTTGGTCACCAGCGTTTTCCCGCGTCTTTTCCAATTTGTTTGACGCTAGAATTCATTGGCACACGAGAAAATTTTACAATTGGTTGCTGTGGTTAGTTTTGTTTTTCGTTTACGACTCTCAATTGAGAAGGGCACAAACGGTACTTATAAACTAATGCAGGTATAGTGTCAGATTTGGCTAGAAGCGACACAAAATTTCGTGTTCCCTTGACCCTTTGTGACCAAAAGAGAATAACTCCCTACAATACTGATACATTTTCACGATACAAAGCGACGAGAAAATGGAAAAACATCCAGGGTATATGGTTTGATGAAACTCGAAATTCTCAGAACCAAAATTGTAGTAAAAGTATGGAACATGGTTTCAGAGAATTGTAAGTTTGAGAGCGAAAGGGTTTTAGTTCACGATGTTGTGAAAAAACGACCAATCCTATCTGTAAGCTCCATGACATTCTGTTAACTGAAAGTTTCTTTATTTCTGTCGTAAGTAGAGTACAAGAACAGATAGGACAATTTATGAGAATTATGTTAGAAACATGAGATTATAATATTGTAAATAATGACTTCAAATGACCAGGTCAGTCGGATTTAAAAGAGGAAAAAAAATTATTACATTCAGCTGTCCTGGGCCGTTTTTAATAAATAATTGATGTTTTGACATTTTAATGTTATAATGAGATGACTGCTACCGTTGTCGTGTGGAAAGCAAAGGGAATCTTGGTGCCTTTTTTCCGAATACCGTGGAAGTTATCGTAGTTATCTTCTGAAACTGACGATGAAATTCAGGGATTCAGTGAGAAAACTCTGACCCATTCAGCCTCCAAACCCAAAGTTGTAACCATAAAAGACCGTAACGTCATGTAGCCTGGGAGTTTCTCCGCCCGTGGGAAAATTTAAAAGCAGTTGGGAGGAGGTTAGCAAGGGATCTGGGACTAATTACAATTGCCAGACCCTTTGCTGTCAGCTCCAGACCTCTTGCCGACTAATACAGGGAGTTTAAGATCCACGTTTGTTTCTAAATACGTGCAACCGCAAACGTCTAGGAATTACGTGACCAGACTCCAGTGTTCATGTTTGCCGTTTGCTGTCCGCGTTTGAACTTCGGGCAAGGCAATTTCAGGTACTTGAACTCCCTCAACGCTTTTTGTCTTCCTGTTCGAAAGTTCTCACGTATGTCCTATAAATATATGTGAGGTGAAGTCTTTTCTTTATAGCCAATCCGTTTGGGGCGCAAGGAAACCAATCTTTTGGCTACATTTTGTGCGTAAAATGAAAGACCCTTATCCTTCGTGTAATTCAAGATGGCGGCGCACATGTTGATTTTTTTTTTCGGTGAAAGCCGACATCGATCTATAAAGCTGAAAGTCTCGAAACTTCAAACCACAATTTGCGGTGAACATATCTAAAACTCTCTAATGATGAGGGCTTGCTCGCAGGCTACAAGACAGGCTCATGAAGATAAATATAGGTCACAGCATGTCCTGCTCACTTTACTCATCGCCAATCACAAAAGAGATGATAAGTAGCTTAGCCAATCAGATTGCAGTATTGTGAAAAACACTAACATACTTTTCTTAATATGCGCGAAGAATATAACGACATAATACTTCAACACCGCTCAGAGCCATAACAGACGTTAACACATTATTGTAATGGTGTAGTTTGATCGTCCGGATGAGTGTAGTCCTGAGAAGGACTGTTGTCGGTAGGGGTGACTGACGTTTCGACAACCTGAGCGGAAGTCATCATCAGAGTCATGTGAATAGTTGTTGTCAGTCGAATGTTCTTAGTCTGGTTTTTATAAACTGATTGGTCAGTTTTGCCATGAAGTGATTGGCTGTAAGACTCAAGTGGCGTTCTCGATCCGTTAGTGAAGTTAGGTCGTTCTGTTCGGTTCGTTTGCAATGTTAATGTCGTGAATGAGTCGTTTGTATGGTGCCGGTGGTGGTTGACACCTGTTGAGAGGAGTCTGTTCCAAGTTAGTAAACCAATTGCGCTCGTCGTGTTAGAGTCCTGGTAGTTGTGGCTTTGTGTGATGTCGGGTTGTAGGATGACTCGTCCAGCAATCTGTCGGTATGTGTCGGTTTCCTGTAAACTGCTGTCCGTAGTGAGTTGTCGTCATGGCCTACCAGGCAGTCTAGAAAAGGTAGTTTTACCATTTTCTTCGACCTCTCTGGTAAACTGTAAGTCAGTGTTTTGTCTGTTGAGGTGGTGGTGCATCGATTTCGTCGTGTCGTACGGCGGTGAAAGTATTGTCAACGTAGTGTAACTAAAGTGGTATCGTTTGTCAGAGTCGAACGGGCGCTTTCCTCGATGTTCTGCATCACAATTTCTGCTACAACAACAGAAACTGGAGACCCCATAGCTGTACCGTGTAACTTTTTGTACTTTTTACCGTTGTGCCGAAAGTAAGTTGACGTAAGGCAAAGGTTTAGTAGGTCCATAATGTCTTCTGTAGGTAGCGGTGGAGGGTCGGTGGATTGTAGGATATCAGTTATTTTCACATCAAATGACACTAGTTCGTAGACGTCAGGTATCTATACAGTCTTAGTGGCGTTAATGAAGTCCTCGGTGGATTATAGTTTACGTTTGGATTTGTCGGTGAGCAGTTGTAGTATTGTTGTCAGGTACTTGAACAAGTACCTGTCGACAATACTATAACCGCTCACCGAGCAGCCACGTAGATTAACTTTCGTAAAAACAAAACCAAAGTAATCACAACAGAAAGGAGCGGCTTTAGAACTCAAAATAAAATGAGGCGCGAGAAAACGCGAGTTACCAAGTCACGATTGGTGTAAGATTTGAATCTGACTGGTTGAGAAAGTAAGTGCAAATTTCCTGGACCAAGCCTTCCCTTTAGGGACTCTGCACTGCTTTGGTGCCTCGTTTATTGACTGAAAGCTTGGTACAGGCTCGAACAATTTTCTATCGAGTGTTTAAGGTAATTCACGAGCGCTTTGGTTTTTCTGAGCCGTCTGACCCCTCCAGAAAATTTTTTCACTTTTTCAATTGGTAGGATTTGAACGAAAACTAGTTCAAGCAAAATTTTCCTAGAGCCTCTGCAATCATTTTTAATCCATCGACTATTTTATTGTTTTATATTGAGTGAAAATTTGTAAAAATATTCTCATGATACTATTTACATACAACTGCACTTAAAAAATAATATCTTTGAATCGATACCGCAATAAGAATAGACTATTTGATATCCAATAATATCAAAAGTAACATGATGTCACAATTAAAAAGTGAAATATTCTATCACTAAGCTTTCGTCGGGTAAAAATTGGAAACATCATGGCTAATTCATAAAAGACACATGTAACCTATGAGGTACGTGGAAATATTCGCTAAGGGTAAATTTAAGAGGGTAAAGGAATTTTACAGTTCGTTCGGGCCACTCTCCAGTTTGAGTTTCCTTTGCAGGGTAATAGGAAGTGGTAACCTGTCAAAGCCACGTATTCCTGAGTATTTCCTTATTCTTTCTCTTATAACAGAAAGACACTCCGGTTCAAGACTTAACATTGTCGTACATTTGGTAGCCAACAAGAATTCCTGGATCGCGCTTGATTTACACCTGTCAATCGCAGTCAGGCCACAATAATCCGATTGGTTAATTTTCGCTCCAAAGGACACCATCGCCTTGACAGCGTGTTCAAATTGACCAATCACAGCCAAGTGCAGAGGAGTGTACCCACAGTAACTTTCTCTAGCATTCAAATCTGCTCCACAGAGAAATAGCGCCTTTGCACTGGCTTCGTTGCCGTTCTGTGCTGCAAAGTGTAAAGGTGTGTATCCCGCGAAATTTCGCGCGTGAGCATTTGCGTTAAAGCGAACCAGTAGCTCTATGAGAGCATAATTGTTGTGCATTGCAGCAAAATGAAGAGGAGTTTCACCAAAGAAAACGCCGCTACTGTAATTCACATTAGCTCCAAACTCGCATAGAAGTTCAACAATGTCCAACATATTTTCTGCTCTTGAAGTTGTCAATGCCAAGAGAAGAGGACTGTAATCTAACGAGTCGACACCATTAACGTTCGCACCTCGTAACAGCAGACTGTGCACGAGTTTTGGTGGCGCGCCGGAGCGCAGCGCAGTCCTGAGTTGGCTGTCTAATAACTCCCGGCTAGTAGAGTGTACTGAATCGTACTTGAATCTTTTAAAAATACTTCGCAACCCTGGAAGATATAAAAAAAGTACGCAAGTTTACAATATTAAGTGAATGCCAATTAAATCATTTTCCTGTTACTGTTATAGCCATGTCTCATTAAAAGACTTTTCCATCTCATCTATGACCTTTCCGTCCTCAGGAAGTTGTATTCTCGTATTTTAGACTTATGGCGATATTTACATAAACGATAAAACTACTCGCAAAATATTTGCCTTGCTCCTTTGTACACTTCACCCTAGTTCTTGGCATCGTCAATTTGTTCTTGATCACTGCAACTTGAGGAATCCTTCACAATGGCCTGGTTCGATGCACCTGCTCACTTCTTTGCTGCCAAAAGAGATGAAGATATTCCTTCACGTTTGTGATAACCTGTAAGACGCTGATTCATCTACAGATTAGTTGATAATTATCCATAACCGATGCAGTCAACATTTTGGAAAGTTTTTCCAAAATTACGACGGTTTATTATTCAATCAGAGATCACGTCATAAGCTCGTGCAACTCAGGAGTCAAGTCAAAGATACGCGCGCGTCAAATTGCGCATGTCATACCCCCTCCAGACCCTCCCCATCGATCTGCCATTATAATTATAAGGGTAGGGAGGATGGGGGCGATTCCCGTGACTCTCTCTATAACAGTCTTCCCGAACAGCGACTGGTTATCGAGCCTAAAATAAGGGTCGACTTGAAAACGAAAATCTTAATAATTAGACCAGGACTGAGACCATGAAAATGCTAAACAGCATAATTTAGCTGTCATGAAAGCAAATTCACACATCCGACTCTACAGTAAATAATTTTAACATTATGTGCTCCACTGGAAGAAGGCGTTATAATTTGGTCTTTTCTTTGTTCGAAGCCCAATGACAAGAAGAAGAAACATGAATATGGAACCCGGAAAAACCAGGACTTTTGTTCACTAATCGAGTGAAATTCCAGTGAAGGCAACTTAGATAACGTAATGGGTGCAATGAATAAAGAAATGCCGATTCTCAAATATCAACAACCGACAACTTTTAGACGGAATTTAGAAACTCATTACGTTTTGCGTTTTTAACGAAAACCTCGAAGTTAGCACTATTGCGTTTTCGCACTTTTGTGTGTTCAAAATTAACAATTTATTCAAATTTCCTGAGGAACATGGAGTTGAAGCCCTGTACAGAATATGAATGGATTAAGGGGAAAAGATGTGACAAAATAACTCTCCAGATCATAAAGTGTCGTGATAAAGGTTAACTTTTTTGTCTGTTCTCTCTAGTTGTCATTGGTTCAAAATGTTGGTGCCACTGAATAATTTACCACCTGGCAAATATCAACAAAGAAAATGTACACCTAAAAAGGTAAATCGCTCAAAGCGGAAGACAACGACGTTGTTTTTTCCATATTTTCCGTTGTTTTTGTAATTCATACAGCCATTTTGACCAGGACCCAGTTAGGATATGTCTGTTCGTTGAAAGGGAGCATAATGCAATACATACTGTTCGTGAGTTAAAATGCGCAAAAAGTTCTCGTTTGACTTTCCTTAAATGTGCGTCAGTTCAGCAAGTGCCAAATTAAAATTATTCCGTTCTATAATCTAGCAAAGCCTTCGAGAAATATACAGGCAACACAACATTTCTACATCTTCGAGCGAATGGCTCATTGGAGACAATAAACACAAACTTTACCGCGAACTTGAAAATCGCTCGTAGGTAAGAACAGTAGTGAACAAACCTAAATCAATCAGCTAGATTAGAGAAATAAGCTCTTACTTTTTAAAACTTGTCCCGGATGAAGCCTTTGTCCTTTCAACATTCGCCACGCGTTCTTCACAAAATTTTATGGATTCTGTTTTCTGTTTTTTCAACGCAAACCGTCTTTGTTGTGACTTTCTTTGTTTCTGGTTTTTACAAGCGTAGTACTGGGTGCGAACCAATCTACCAGCGGTTCTTTCCTTGAAAATTTTCAACATGGCTGCAGTGCTGGCGGTGAATGGTTGTGCAGAAGTAGAAAATTTGCTACAATTTTGCAATATTTCGAAAGAAAGGATTCGTGTGGAAGAGCAAAAAGAGTTCACCTCACCTAAGGTAGGGAATTATTGAGTTATTGTCTAAGGAAAAATTAATTTTGTTAGGTAGGCAGTATTTTCTTTATTAATATTAAAATTTCATGGCGCGTGATTGAAACTGGGGGCGATTTAGCCAGTTGTGGAGTTATTGTTTCTCATCCACTAAGCTTTGTGTTACTTCTTTGACTTACAAATATAATAACGAGTAACAAAGATTACAAAACAAGTGGAGGGGGAGGGAGGGGGTGTGCTGCGACTGAATTGGGCTTGGATTTGAATTAGCTATACCAGCAGTTATATATTTTTTTTGAAAATCTGGTATATCCAATAGATCTGTCCCATGCGGATGATGAAGGTCAATTCCTCTCAATATAACGAGTGGTAATGGGTCTTTCCGTTGTTACAGTCCAATTCAGTCTGTAGTCATATGGGTTATTAACGATATCAGACTAACACAAGGCAGGAGTCTGATTTGATAATTAAAAGTATGATTAGAGACAAAATTGTACAACAAAAAGTTCTTTTACCAATTAATCAAAACTATGAAAAAATCTGAGAGATAAACTAGCCATCGGTTACAGTGTAAACATTTTCATGAAAACAACAGGTAACTGGGCAAAATGTTAAAAACACTGTCCAATTACAAGCACGATTTGCACACTGTCTCTTTAATGCTCAAATCAGTCTGGTGAACCAATCACATTCAATAATTTTGTTATAGTTTTGAGTAATTGTCTTATCTCTAATTTGAACATGATTCTTTTCAGATAGCCATAAATCCATATTCATTTTGCACTATTTTTTTAAAATTTCCATTGTTAATTACTTCACTTTGGTGTGATTTTCTAGGAGCCAACTTTGACCTTTAGTTCAGGCGAAACAGTAACTGGTGTGCGAACAGTAGGGGCATATCTCTCCAGAATATCAACTCAAAAACTTCTTGGAGGGTCAGCTCTGGAGAGAGCTCTAGTAGATCAGTGGATGGAATACTGTCAGTCACATTTGGAATCTTCTCTTCAGGATGGAACTCTTATCAAAGGGGCATTAAGAGTAAGAGTCTTTCTTTCTAAGTGACACACACTGTTGTTTTCAAGTTGGATTTTTAACCTTTTAACTCCCAGATATGAAAATATATCCATACTTTATCGAGTGAAAAGGTAATAAGATTGATCAAACTAATCAGGTAGAAGTTTTTATCTTGATCTAACACCATATTCCTGTAACTAATCGATACGGAAATGTGTAGCAGCCAGAGGGGAGAATTAACAATCAGATCTTGGGAGTTACAAGCTTAAAGTTTCCTCAATAGTTGACAAATTTCAAGGGTTCTCAAAAAGATTGGAAGGGGGCAAAAGAAGAAAAAATTCAAAGTGTAATGTGAGTAGAACTTAAATTAAGCTGTTAGAAATCACAAAGCAGTTATTGATCAATGGCTAGGTGCCCTCACAAACTGAGAACCCAGTACTTCTGTTAAGTAGTGAACTTTCAATCAAGAATTATTAACCTGTTTGATATTTTTCATTTTTCTCATCACTCATCATCTTAATATTGTAAGGCAAAATTTTGTCTTTGTCACTCATGGAGTAAAAGGATTGAGCAAAACCTGAAGGCCAATCAGGGCATAAGAGAATTTGTTAGGAGTCAGTAAGAATTGGATAATACCAGTCCTTCAAATTTTTACCTTAAATTAACCAGTTACTTATTTATCTTCTTTCAAAACTTTCCATTTTTCCTTTCACTTTTCCAATTAATTTATTTCATTTATTATTTTTGTCTTTCGATTGGTAGCATAAAGCCGCTTTTGATTGTGTTGCGACTGTTAACCCTTTAACTCTCAAGATCTCATTAGTAATTTTCCTTACTGTCTGCCAAATGATTCTCACTATGTTAGTTTGGAGAATTTGGTATTGGATCAATTAGCAATCCCAAATTTTTTTTTTTTAAATTCATTACTTGTCTGTGTGATATTGCATAGATATTAAATAGAAAGGAGAAATTCTGTCTTGGTCACTCACGAGGGTTAAAGAGTTAAGGATGTAGTAATCAAGATCCAACTGCTTATGTCTTAGTTGAACATTTTTCCACAGTATTTGGATAAATCTCTGTCTAGAACAGTATATCTGGTGGGCTGTCAGTTAACACTAGCTGATATCATGTTGTATTATGCACTTCATCCTCTAATGCTGGAGCTTAGCATCCAAGAAAAGGAACAATTTATTAACCTTTCAAGATGGTTTAATCAGGTAAATATTGCTTGTAGTTCACTGAATTATCTTACTCCTTGGTCAAGTTCTACTAATTTTTCTTTCTTTCAAACGTAATTTTCTATGCCCAATATAAATGAAATAAAGAATTCAAAACTGAGTACGATTTAACCTCAACACATGCAACACACTGATCCCCCCTCCCATGTTCAGGGTATTCATGGCTTGTCTGTCCAGCATTAATCAAGTGTTACAAACACATGCGTGTGTATCTCCCTTCCATTAATATTAATGCAAAATTAAACACCTACTTGATCATGACATGAATTTGTCTGTAAACAGAGGTAAAATTTTTCTTTGTCTTGTTCTGGTGTTATTAAGTCTTATCAATTAGTTACATCAGTCCTTCACTTTATCATCATATATCTTTTTTTCATGATTAACACAGGTGCAGTATTACCCTGGAGTCCGACAATATTTGCCTGAAGTATCATTTCTACGCAACATGCTCTACAGTTGACATTGTGGTACATCATTTGATTATATGAACTTATATGTATTTTACTGCTAAGACGTATGCCCTAATTCCCAAATGTGTTGCCAATTATGACTAAATAAATTTATTACTTATTCTGTCTTTGAATGCAATGCTATTTTGTTTATTACAGTAGAACTGTAGAATGAGAAAAAAAAAATGAGTCAAACCCATCAACATTATTTTTTTTGTTTACTTTTATTGGCATAGTTCTTTGTGTAGTGTTTTTTTTGTCATAAGTTATAAAGAACAAGTTTTGATACTACCACTCTTGCAGGCTGAATAAAATATGTATTTACTTCCAGACTGGCAAAACAATCTCAAAATTGCAGATGCAGTGTTAAATGCAGACAGTAATAAATTATTTGTTTTCTATGTTAACTTGATGAATATATTGTTCTATTTGCTACTTTTTTTTTAATAACTTCTGTTAGAGCTAAAATGCCATGCCCATTCCTATCTCTACAAAATTGTACCTTAAAAATAATATGCTACCTAATTAGCTCAACAATATTCGTTTTTTTTTTAAATTCCCCCTCTGGAATCCTCTTTAATATGAGTCTCTTTATAAGAGTACAAACATTTTTTAAGGATATATATGTTGTACATAAAATAATCCTTGTACATCACTTGTATGCTTTTAACACCACAATATACAAAATATTTCTCAAAACTACCTGGGCAGAAGTAGGTGCCTTTTAGATACTTGCTGTACACACTTGCAATAAATTAAGCCTTTTCCTTAAAAAATAAAATAAACTGGAATTCTTTTGTTGGTCCTGTGTATGTTATAGCTCAATATGGCTGATGGGAAATTCAGAGAAATAAACTACGTAGATTTAATGTATATAAACAATGCATAAACCAGCCTGAATAAGACAATTATAGTAGTATAACTTTCTCTCCCTCCTGCTCTAAATTACTCACTCATAATGGCTCACACTTAACCCTTAAACTCCCAAGATCTGATTGTCAATTCTCTCCTCCAACTGCAACATGTTTTCTTGTAAATTGGTTATGAGAATTTAGTGTTAGATCAAAATAACAACTTCTACATGATATGTTAGAGTATTCTCTTGACCTAATTGCTGGATAATGAATGGAAATTACCAGGAGAAGTTACATGCTTATCACTTATGGGAGTTAAAGGGTTAACATCAGTAAGCATATTCCCCCTGCTGCTGTTCTCTATACATTTCCTAACGTGCTTACAAGGAAATTTATTAAACAATCAAGCAGTGGTGGATCCAGACCTTGAGCTTGGGGGGAGGGGGTTGGTGCTTATCCTGCAGGTCTTTCTTCCTTCTGCAATTCCCTTTTTTTACCCGAAAAAGGGGGAGCTCTATCAAGAGCTTCTTTAATTAGTTAAGGATCATTTCCTTGAGTCCCATGGCTCCAATTTTTGATTCAGGAGTGATATTGTGAGGATAAATTAGATGCTAGACACTTACAGGGGTAAAAAGACTAAAGACATTGGCATCACACAGAATATAAACTTGTGCACTATATGCACTAAGAAACTCACAATGCTCATTCAAGCACTTAAATATGTAATTTCCCTTTACAGTTGTTCATTAAATCCTTTCTGAAAGACTATTTACAGTTATACCTTAAATACTCTCAGGCCCCACATGGGGAGTTACTTGTATACCAAAACTAAAACTTTTTGTTCCATGAAAAAAAACAATTTTGTCAAACTATAACTTCAGGTCAAGTAAGCTAAAAACAGGGTTATATTTTGGATTGATTTTTGCCCATTCCTTTCTTTTGATATTGCTTCTAATGGGTCCATCTTCAGAATCTTCAGACAAAGGAGTAGCACTGTCATTTTGTGTTACTTCCTCAGGCTCAGCTTTAGCTGGCTGTGGTGTGGGGCCAGAGTTCCCCTGGCCAGGGTTCAAATAACCAGGGTTCAAATAACCAGGGCTCCAATAGTCAGGGTACACATTTTGCACTTGTATTGGCGCTACAGCTATTGGCTGGACATTAATCGGCACTACTCTTGTTCGCCTTACTGTTCTGTCACCAGACTCAATTGCTGCAATCAGCCGACAGGTTCCTCCCAATATCAACATCTTAAAAAGATTTCAATGGATATAAAACAGTTAACCCTTTTACGCTGTAAAATCAGTATACATCTTCTCCATACTGTTCTCTATAAATTTCCTAAGGTGGTGATAAGGAGAAATTGTTTAACAATCATGAGCTTCTTTGGTTACTGATCTTTTTTGTTATTCTCATGATCTCAATGAATGATGCAGCAGTATTATTGTATGAAGAAATGAGGTGAATGTTCAACTTTTCAGGTTTAAAAGGTTATCTACTCTAAATGTTTAAAAATCTGATGTTTTCTGCACTTATCAACCTACAGAAAATTTCAACATTCCTCTTGCATAACAAATAACTTGGCTTGTTTTCTAAACTTTGTGGCTTTCTTTATTTTATACTTTAATATTTTGGAAATATTTCGCTTAAGTACCTGCAGAACAGCAACAATAACTGAACATGTTGCTAAGATAACATGGTTCCTCTTAATCCAATCCATGAGATTTGTGTAGCAGTCCTGGAGAGATTGCACAAAAATGAATAGGTTTTTTGCCATATTTTCTGATAATTATTACCTTACAAAAGCAGTTGGGGATTAAAAAAACTGAATCCTAACATTAATCATTTATCTTTTTGAAATCAAAGAATGAAGTTCGACCTCTCAATGTTGTTAAGGCAGCATAATACAATACATATATTCCAACTATTAGAAACACAAAGAAGGAAGGTTTTAGTGTAGCACAGCCATGACCACAAGTGCCAAAGGCCTTAGCATTTGGGTAGGAGAGGATCTGAATTAATCCCCATCCAAAATCTTAGAACCAAGGCCTCCATCTAAGATGCCATTTCCTATATTTTGAGATCACAAATATGAATCCCTGAAATTGAAGTAAAGGTAATAAAAGTCCAAGATACCCCCTGGAAAATGATAAAGAATGGTTCTGAAAAGACCAGTAAAGCAGCGAGAACATTTATCTAAGCTTTCTTTTTTAGGAGAAGCTATAATGGGAGGGTTGGATAACTGACATTAAGAAGAAGCAACAGAATGTTCAGTTTACCTTCAATCTTTTGTTTCCTGGATTATCATCAACAAAACAGGATTTGTCGGAACTTGACTTATGGTTGAGGTTTATTGGTGATAGACCGCAGCATTCAAACTTGAATTTGAAAAAGTAAATAAAATGAGTAAATAAAAAGAATATAACTAGTTTATTAACCCTCTAAACACCACAACAGACAGAGGCTTGTTTTGGGACCAGACAGTTAAGTAAATGTGTATATCCTACATAGATAACTCACTAGACCATTACATAAAAGATCTTTGACGAATACAATAAACCAACAGTCCAGTAATCAAGAATAAATTACAAACATGAATGAGATTAAGATACAATCAAAACTGTGAATGATGTTGGTGGGAGGGAAACTAAAACTTTCTTATTGCTAGAAATAAACTTGTTGCTTGCTTGTTTGCTCACTAGATTACTAATAAGACGTGCACAGATATCTAAGCAGTAATATACTAATTAGTATGGTGAATAGCCATTGGCTTTACCCAAGTCTTATGACTTGTATGCTGAACAAATTGCTCAATCTTAAGGAAAGGGAAAATACTAATATGCACCCTGCCTATACCCAGTCCAGGCCTCTTAGCTATCGATGTCTAGATTCATATTAATAGAGATTGATATTCACTTACACCCTAACATCAGTATGCATATTCTCTATACTGTGCACAACACATTTCTTGCTGTACTGACAAGGAGTGTTTGTTTAATAGTGAAGAGCTTCTTAGTTGGTGATCATTTCCTTTTAATTATTCTTTGCATCCTTAATTTTTGCTTCAGGACTGATATTGTTAAGAGAAATTAGATGCTAGTTACTCTTGGTAGTCAAAGGGTTTAGCTTTATGTGCTCAAAGAATACATAATAGCTTCATGTTTAGTTACTTGGAATGAGTGCTATGTTAGACTTAAATAATTTATTACCAGTCGATGGTGTCTTTATTTTAGATTCGATTCTGAATAATGGTAAATTGAACAGCATATTCACCTTTTCTTGAATGAGGATTCTAACTTCATCAGTAGTTTCATCCCAGTTTGTGGCAATATGATCTTGTATCTAAAATATATCATGAATAAAACAAAATTCAAATTGTAATCTTTTACACCCTAATATCAGTAAGCATATTCTCCGTAATGTTCCCTGAAGTACTGACAGGGAGACTTAAGCTAACAGGCAAAAGCCTGTTTGCTTTACTTTCATTTCGTCAATTCTCTTAACCTTAATGTTTGACTCAGCAATGATACTGAAAGGGGAAATTGGATGCTAATCACTTTTAGGGGTTAAAGGGTTATCAATGCTAGATTATCTTCCCCTATCAGTAAAAACTGTGATTAAAATCTGTAATTGATGTACACTATTTACATGGGTCCTTGATCTCTGTTTATTGATCACCGAATAATGACTCCATAATGTAGATGGGTGAATGCAATTTTGAGTCATTGTGATGTAAGTTAACCCTTTACACCCTAACATCAGCATGCATATTCTCCATACTGTTCTCCATACATTTTCAAAGAGGCTGACAAGGAGAATTTGTGTCACAATCAAGACCTCCTTTAGTTGGTGATCATCTCAACTATTCTCATGACTTTCATGTTTGATTCAGGGGTGATATTGTAAAGAGAAATTAGATGTTAGTCACTCTTAGGGGCTAAAGGGTTAATAGAACTTTTGATATTTTAAATTTAGAATTATCATAACAGTTACGGTATTAAATTTCACGTACCTGGTCTTTTTCTACGTAGAGATAAATAGCTACACCAAGTTCAGCCAAGAGTAAAATTAACATAAATGCAAAGTACTAAAAAATAAGGGAAAAGAAATGAAATGTAAGGAAATAACTTTAGCTCAGCAGTTGTTGTGTTTTGTTGGACAGCAAATTGCATGTTGGGAAGTGCTAAGATTATATTCCTTTGTTTAATTCAACCTTGAATGTAGTTTTACAGCAATACCATGTCAGGCTGGAAATTATTTTTTGGGAGATGTAATTGATAGCATGTTGAGTATTTATGAGGGGAACTTGAGTGTTTTAACTCTTGGGTATATATATTGAATTTGATATTTACCGCTCTTAGTAGGTTGTCTTTCATTAGGATAATTCCACATGATCCGATAAATCCTGGTATCAACAAAAGAGAGTACATGCTGATAATGTGAAATTAAAAGTAGGGTTTTACTCTACCAAACTAAATGAAGACACCTTCACACAGACGAGCACCAAAAATGAAAATGGGGTCATTTGCTGGGCAATCTTTAAGTAAATTCAGTTCTTCAGAGTGTGCTGAATTTCTTAATAAATAACTTCAGTAAATCCCACCTTTCCTTTGGTAGGTAAAAAGGACATTTGTAATCAGGGAAATTTTATGTCATGGGATGGTTGGGGACAATGGTTTGATAGGGAAGAGTTCATTTCCCATCTCTTATAAGGAGAGAGGGGGAAGAGCATGTTACATTTCTTTTGGTCAATGCACTGAGGATAGAACACTTGTAGGCGTTTAGGTCACGGTCACACCAAGAATTTAACTGCAGTCTACCTTCAATTGAAGAAAAACTTGAATGAGGTTTGGCTTCATTTTGAGGTTTGATAAATAGTTTTGTCCAACAGCCTTGCACATAAAAATTTGCAAGATCTCCCCCTAAAGGCTTTAATTTGCATGCAGTAAGAAGGAGTACATACCAGTGATAAATACAAACGATGACAGCACAATATAGCCGATAGTTACGTTCTGTTAAGAGGGAAAAAAAATCATCAGCGTTATGATTTTAAAATAACCATATATTTTGGTTATTTCTTTTCTTATTTTTTAAATCTGCGTTATGAGGAGAAATCCTCTTTTTCTCAGTGTTGTTAACCAATGTGTTCTCGAATTCTATGTATTGATTAATGTATTCAAGGAAGACAACATATCCAGCCCTCCCATACCGGAAATTGTACCATTGAGGACTAAACCCTCAAAATGATGTAAAAATCTTTTCTACAGCCCCCCTTAGGTTTATCACACCAGTAAGGGAGGGTTATACCTCAAGCCCATTGAAAAGGGGATCACTGGCCAAATCATTCATCACAGAGGGTCTCTATGTCAAAAATGTGATAAATGTCATGTAAATTCTTTTTTGTTCATCTTTTAAGCTTCATTTGAGTCTACGAGGACTTATGTTAACTCATTTCCCCTTCCCCATTAATTGCACGTTTCCCGATCAGGCTCACAGGGGTTCTGATCACTATCAGAGTCCGAGGCACCAGAATCTGTAACGCCTGAAACATCCCTCTCCTGGGCTTCACCTACTTAGTAATGTGAAGAAGTGCACCTTTACTTGCATTTTCTTTATCTCATTTAGCTGCCAAAGGAAAACAAACGAAAAACACACCTGATTTCCAGCCAGGTGTTTATACTCCGTGTCTTGTGTTGTTACCCATATCCCAAGGCCAAGCATCACAGAGCCTCCAAGCTGTAGAGAGAGTAAGACTTCAGTTGAAGGGCTTCTCTTGATTATTGTCATGAAAATGCGTATAGGGAGCCGGCCACAAAGGTGTCACAAAATAGTACGCCTAAAAAAGGTGTGGGGTTTGGTGATGGATAATGGCTGTGCCCTCATCGGGGTGTATTCCACTCTTGACACCATGTTTAACCAAAACTGAATTTAACCCTTTACACCCCAGCATCAGAATTCGTATTCTCTAAACTATTATCTACAAATTTCCTTCGGTACTGACAAGGAGAATCGGTTTAATAATCAAAGCTTCAAAGGATGGCGATCAGTTCCTTTATTCTCGTAATCTCAGATGCTGGTACGTCACTTATAGGGTTTAAAGGGTTCACGGGAACAACCAAGAGGCGTTTCATGGTAGCCCAAAGAATATATTTTTGTATCCGCCGACTTTTTCCAAATTAAAATGTGAAATATTTCGTCATTGGTCAGAGGTTCACATAACAACTATACGAAACATAGGCATAGGTAAGCGACGTAACGATTTGTGTTGCTAAGAACTCTCGGTCTGAAGGCCTGTTTTTGATAATCATTTTTTGTCGGGTATCCGCTTATTGACTTTACATCTCGATCGTCTACAACCACAACAGAACTTCAATGCCACATTGTTTACACTGATAGTATAATTGTAAGGTTTCGTATGAAGAAAAAAGTTGTATAAGGAACTGAACAGAGAAAAACTCAAAAATTCGTTAAATTGTTTCTTTTTTTATGTATCACAGTGTCAAAGTTTTAATTGCTCTTCTTTTCAAAAGCTACACCAAAGACCAAGAGATAAACGACAAAAGCGAGGCGACCATTTTTTTTGGTTTTTTTCGTAAATGTTATCTTTTTCATTTCCTAAGACACCAGTTATTCGTAGATCCAGCGTGAGGTACGTGCGCTACAACTATCTTTCAAATACTCCAATATGACATTTCTTTTAGTGAAATCCAAAGCGTTATAACCCCCTTAATTACTCCAGCTTAAAGCATGAATGTGAATTCCAAATGAAAAAGGAAACCTCTGCTGTGGACTTAATTGAACTAACGACAATCTGTCGTCTTTAAACCTTTGCACAAAAAGGACCCCGAAAACAGTTGACCATACTTGTCACTCTGATTGTTTTCCTATGTAAATAGCTGATGACTACTCCACTTCTTAATATGAAGTTTTAGACGGCTTTAGCAATTTATTAATCTCGTACACTTTTGTTTTTAATGCACGAGAGGAAATGACGGAGCCACGATTGCGATTCAAAAAGATTTTTCATTGTATACCTTATAAACCAGGTTTAGCTATAGTTTGGTGATGGAAATTAAAAAAGAGATTCAAAATGGATTGATTTTTAAAACTGAATGGAATAAATTATAAAGATGACGAGGTCAAACTTCCCGAATTTGTTTTGCTAGTCTAAAGCATGTTTGGTTTTAGAAATTAAAGTGTTTTTAGGAGACTTAGCGGAGTGTTCCAAAATTCTCCTCCGACGAAAGAATATCTAAAATCATGTATTGTCTGTGAAAAGAAAATCAAAGATGATCAGATTCAAACTTGAAATCAAAATTTATTGACCCAGTTTATCTAGCAAAACTGAATCAAGTACAATGAACCGAATCTATTCCTTGCTTGAGTCAAGGTTCATGAGTGCAAGCGAAGCTGATGAACACCGTCACGTCTGTGAAAGCATATGATAAATTATATTTTGCCAGTTTCGACGAAGCAAGTAGGAAATCTTGCATAAAATTGAAAACTGTCCGGAAACCATCACGAATCTTCAGGAAAAATTATTTGACAACGCAATTAGTAGATTTTACAATCCCATCGACGATACGGCAAAAATCAGGAATTTTCTTGCGTCGAAACCCCAAAATCCAACTGAGAATTGTTCATTTACAACACACTGGGTATATAATATCGACATTCATATTAAGTCCGTGAATTTTCCTTGTAAGCCCACTTCAAAATGGTTTCTAATAGACGCGTGGGTTTCATCTTTCATGATCAGTTTACCACAAACAATCACGCGATGTAAAATCGCTTTCTTTAAACGAAATTCTTTCATCGACTTTGAGCATAGATAGTACTTGATACTGACAGAGTAAAGATCTCTGAAAGTCTTTTAACACTAGAGTGAGATAAGTTTAAGCGATAGAAGGGTTTTTGGAAAACGATGCGGGATTGAAATGGTGTTTAGTTATGCTTCATTGGCCAGTGAGAGTAGCTGTGCGCACTTGGCTATTATGAACTATACAATACTGTCTACGCGAAATTGAAGGATTACCTGTGTGAATTTTTTGTGTCACTGGTAGACACAAAAAGATTTGCTGCTTTTACAAAACTTACCCAAACCAGGCAGTTCATAGTGAAGACACTCCAGCGGACACAGACTGAAAAATTATTCATGTGAACCATAATTTCCTAATGTCTCTAAGGTCGCACTTCTATCTCAAATCAACGAGACCTAGTCTAGAAAGGTGTCTATGTCTGATAATCCGTAAAAATAATGATATTTCTCAAAATTGTAATGCGGTAACAATGGCGATATCATTACTGAATTCCCAGTATTTCTGCCATAAAATCTCAGTTAATAGCGTGTTGTCAGACATGACAGAGGTAACGCTTGGACGATTTTTTCTTTTGTAATTCAAACCAGGTCAAGGGCAATACGTGTCACTCATGCAAAAAAGCCCCGGAATGGATTTTGAAATACCCCATACTATTTGAATTGTGATATGTCAGCCGGAACTCTTTCAAGAGCTGAAACAAACATTCCTTGTTGCATGACAAAATGCAATTAAGTTTCTGTTTAGAGAGTACTTTTCCATGGCTTTGTTCCCCGTCTGTCTTCCTCTCAGAAAACCCTCACTGAAACATTCAAATGTTAAGCTCATAATTCAAATGAGAACCCTCACTGTAACGTTAAAGTATTACGCTCACTGTAGCCTTTGTCAAGGAAACGGAGTAGAGACTGAAATGAGGCTTTAAAAATTCAGTTTTATGGTTGTATTTGTTTGATCATGTCACGATCAAACAAATATGATTTTGGCAGATTGCTTTGGCAATTAAATTTGAACAGCTTAACTGGCATGTTCTGTAAATCGTACTTGCCTACTGGTACACATTAAATTAACAAGTAACTGTGAGATCAAGTAATGAAACTACGTTGGCGTTCTCTTTTAAGAGTATTACAGCGCTGTCGCGAAACGAAGAAGTTTGAAACAATTTGCATAAAGGTAGTAGTGATTTCCTTAATTTTCCAGCACTTACCAAAACAACTGTTGTAAATGTACACAAAGTATATTTCAAACACACGGCCATTTCATATTTCCAGAATCCTTTACACCTGTGCTTTTTCGCTCACAGAAAGTGATGCTTGGATCATATGGTCACTGAAGCGGAGTGTCTCTCACGGAGTTGTGGAAATTAATAGACTCAGTCATTGCTATCTAATCAACTACGACAATGCTCATATGACGTCAAACATTCCCTAAATTTCTCTCATTCGCTGCTACTAGTAAACTCGGCTAATACTTATTCTAAATTTTAGGAACAGGGAAGACCATTGGTCAGATTTCATAAACAATCACAGTGGTGTTTGACGTTATTCTAAGCTAAATTTCGCTCTATTTTTAAAACACAATTACTTACTCCAGTGGATATAAAATGATAAAGAATGGAAATTACGAACACCAATGAATCATTTTAAAGATGCTGACAGATTTTCAATAGGCCGAGGCACGCATTTACATGCATAAAGCCTTGCTCGTGATGATGCAAATAAACTTTTAGTTCAGCTTTGTAGTTTCCTATTTAACTGTTGGTAATTTAATTGCCAGACACATAAACTTAATTGCGAGACATCTTTTAGAAACAAATGAATAAAGGGGTAAGTTTCTAGAGAAACTGTGGTGCTGCGTCGGTGGGAGAGTATAGCAGGTAATTTAGTGTTAACAACTGAGTTGAAAACGTGAATCAGCCACCGTAAAGGGTAAAAAAGCTGACGTTTCGAGCGTTAGCCCTTCGTCAGAGCTAACGCTCGAAACATCAGCTTTTTTACCCTTCAAGGTGGCTAATTTACGTTTTCAACTCGGTTGTTAACACTAAATTATCTTTTAGAAACAGTTTCCAATGTTTAACGGGGTTTTTGGACTAAAACAAGAAAAACTCTCTTTCCCCCCAGTCCGTCGAGTGCGAGACATGAAGAGCGAAAACTGGGAGGGATTGTCATGGCGTTATAGAAGGTCTACAATCGTTGCCGACGTGCAGGGAGGACTCGTTTTCCACTTTGTTCAAAGCGTTTAGCACTTATCACCGTTAAAACTAGGAGACAATGAAAGCAGCTCTACTTGAAAGTATTTGCCTTTAATACAGGTTTATACACGTGATAATAAAAAACACGAGTTTGCGATGGTGTGTTACTAAAGTTGACCCATTAGACGGAAAGCAAGAAAATCAAACGAGGACGACAACATCTGCACTCTTCAAGTGTTCGATCAAATGGTTAAAATTTCAAAGTCTGTATTTCATTCTTTGTGGGTAGATGGATCTTATGCACGAAATGCAGTTTCAAAATTAAAACAGCAGCTTACACGTTAGCTCTGATGGCGACCTTGACGTCCATAAAAGCTAAACGATGCCTTGTTCTTTATCACTCAAGGCAGTTTCCGACACAATGCCCAGTAGTCTTGGCCAATATGTAACTGTACTTTAACAACGCTTTTCATAATTTTTCCAAGCCTATCATCACGTAATCTATACTAGTCCGCATGGTCGTTTACTTTTCAAATTGCTAAAGTATTTCCTGTTAATTTACCTAAGTTTTCCCTGATACGCGACAACGCACCTCAACTGCTTCAGGTTTTTTGCTATATCAGCTCTTAGACGTAATACTATAAACAAATAGATGTTTTTGTTCCACATCTCAAGTCGATAGTCATTCTCCTGCGAAGCCTTGAAGGTTGTAAACCGAGTGAAACTCACAGAAGACAAAACGCAACTGAAGACCAAAATCATTCACAACTCTCAGACTATGTAACTTTCCAACTCTATTGACCACCCAAGCAAGAAAATCCCTCTAGTTATTGGAAATCTTCACACCTCAACGTGCTTCCAGCTTATCGTTACTTAGCCTTCCCATGCAGACCACAACTACCTAATTATGATCGGTTCCTATATCTTGTTGTTGGTCACACCAGTTCAATGCTTCAACTTTTTGATTTTCTTTCCTGGTGGAGCCCACCTCAGACATGACGTGTCTACTGACAGTACTGGTTTGCGGTAGTGCGCACTCTTGACATGCTCCTCGACAAGTTTGGGCGTGACACATATCACATGTTGACCTTTCCAATATTTCACCATGTTCAACGACTGCAATGTATTGATGATGTCCTCCTGTGTAATACTTGTCATGTTACTTCGGAAAATAAAAAGGAGAGAGAATGCTAATGAATAAATGTCGCTAATAACAAACATTGTGATCATTCCGATGTCGCGACCTCTTCTCAGTTTCTATTAACCCTTTAATTCCCACAACAAATTTGTAATTCTCCTTACTGTCAACCATACAATCCTCATAATGTTAGTTCAGAGAATTTAGTATTTGATCAACTAGTTATCCCCCACATTAATATTTTTCTTTATTCTCATTACTCATCTGGTTGATTTTGTATTGATATTGTAAGGAGAACTTCTGTCTTGGTCACTCAAGGAAGTTAGAGGGTTAACCCTTTACACCCCAACATCAGTATGCATATTCTCCGTACTGTTCTCTTCACATTTCCTATTACACTAACAAGGAGAATTTGTTTCACAACTAGGAGCTTCTTAAATTAGAGATCATTTCCTATATTCTCATGACTTCAACATTTGATTCAAGGTGATACCGTAGGGAGACATTAGAAGCCAGTCACACTTAAGGATTATGGGACACAAGTAGAAGTATTGCTACTCCTCTTAGAATGGAAGTGAGACAAGCACAGGACTCTCCCCCCCCCCCTCACCAATACCCAATACCCAATACCCAATACCCAATACTCCTAGATGCAGAGAGCCACTGGGATAATTAATTGTCTTGCCAAGGACCCAATCAAGAACTTTCATGACCTCTCTCAACAATCCTTTGCATTAGGCCCAAGTGAACTTTCCACTATAAAAAGTCCTCAATTTCCCCATGCCGAGACAATAGTTACAAACTCTACAAAAACCTAAGATCCTTAATGGAAAGTGTTCCTCTGAAGTTCCGCAGTATGTCCAGTAGAATCCAGGACCAGTAGCTTCTGTAACTTAACTTGCCAAGATCTGACAAGGGCTTTTCTGGTGATCCAACCATCTGCTCGATTTTGGACAATTCATAACCTAACAAAACCATCAGATAAAAATAATCACGTTGTAATCCACTGAGAAGTCCCTGTTTTATGGACAGAGCAGAACTTCAAGTAGCAGATGTGATTTGCACTTACTGAAGGCTATCAAGAATTTTCCATATCCTTTTCGCTGATAAGGTGGTAAAGTCAGTATACATGCTACATTGTTACCATCCGGTGATTCTTTCTCCTGGGATGAAGGAAAAGAAATAATTCCTTTCAAAAGTAAGTTAGATTATTCTACTGCCTAACAAAACATAGCCCAGCTAATGTAGTACAAAATTGCAAGCTTGTTTTGATACCACTGAAAAGCACTCTAAAAGAGAAAAAAGGAGAGTGAACTGAGTGTCCTGTTGCAAATTTCTAGTTCAGGTTTTTGTCACTGAATTGAAAAGTGCTCTAAAGAAGAAGGGCAGAGTAAAACCCCCCCTCCCCCTGCCAAAAAAAACAAAAACAAAAACAAAAAGGTGTTGCATTGCAAAATTTCTCCTTTCGATTCTCTGTCACTACATAGAAAAACACCCTATGGGGGAAAACACACCTCAAAAGGCTAGCAAGCCAGCAAGATTTGATTGTTAATTCTCCCCTCTAGCTACTACACATTTCCATGTAAATCAGTTATAAAAATGAGAATTTAGGGTTAGATCAAGATAACAACTTCTGCCTAATAAGTTTGAGTTTTCTCATTACCTGTTTGCAGGATAATGTATGGATATTATAGGGAGAAGTTCCATGTTAATCACTCCTGGGAGTTAAAGGGTTAATCAAGAACTGAGTTGTTCACCCTGCATTATAAACTTACAGTCTATCTTTACCTTGGAGAAGTATCCAACTAGATGGGCACCTTCTCTGTCCACTTCAGTTAGCAAGTAAAACAAGAACGGTTCCACATCAAAGTACAGAGTCTTGTGATCCAGGAATAATTTTGCAAGGAGACAAATGTTCTGACAATATAACTGCAAAGATGAAAAAGATTAGTTTACCCACACTTATAAGTAGCAGTAGAAGTATGCTCGCGAGTAAACTTCTCAACCCTTTCACTCCCAAGATCTCATTAGTAAATCTCCTTACTGCCTGCTATACAATTCTTGTGTTGTTAGTTAACAGAAGTTAGTACTGGATCAACAAATAATCCCATAATTGATATTTTTCCTAATTCTCATCACTTGTCTGCTTGATAATGTATTGATATTGTAAGGAGAAAGTCTGTCTTGGTAATTCAAGGAGATTGGGGTTAAAGTAGTGTATAAAGAAATTACAAACAGTAGGAGAGGATAAGTACACAACACCCCCTTAATGAGTTGTTCTTGAATTCTTCTCTACCAAGCGGTATAAAAAATGTGGCTCCATGTATAAAACATTTCCACATACTCTGTAATATTGTACTATAATCTGTTAAAAACACTACATGCATGGCAACACTAAAGTCTTAATTCATCAGTTTAATTCAACTCTGTAAAGAAAAAGTACAAAAATAACAACTCAAGTTTTAAAACAAAATACCAGAGCCAGCACCTTATTTTCCTTCCCATCTACTTCATACACTGAAATTGTTCCTTTGCGATATATTTCTTTCCCAGGAGGCTGTCGCATGCTACACCTTCCCTAATATAAGATCAGAAAATCACAGAGTGAATAAAA